AATTCTGGGTAAAAATTCTATTTTTAAATTTTAAAATAGTGTAATGCAATTCTCTTTGCACATCTAATCTATACTATATATAAAAACAAAATCCTGAAATTTTAAATTCCGGCCCAATTCCTAAAAAATCTCTCTTCCCAATAAAATATATTAATTTCTACTTTCCCATTTGTATAATAATTCTGGGTAAAAAGTCTATTCTTAATTTATAAAATAGTGTAATACAATTCTCTTTGCACATCTAATCTATAATATCTATAATATCTATAATCCATAATATATATAAAAACAAAATCCTGAAATTTTAACGTACCGCCCAAATCCTAACAAATCTCTCTTCCCAATAAAATGTATTGATTTCTACTTTCCCATTCGTACAATAATTCTGGGTAAAAATTTTATTCTAAAATTATAAAATAGTGTAATACAATTGTCTTTGCACATCTAATCTATACTATATATAAAAACAAAATCCTGAAATTTTAACTTCCCGCCCAATTCTTAAAAAATCTCTCTTCCCAATAAAATATATTGATTTCTACTTTTCCATTCGTACAATAATTCTGGGTAAAAATTCTATTCTAAAATTATAAAATAGTGAAATACAATTCTCTTTGCACATCTAATCTATACTATATATAAAAACAAAATCCTGAAAGTTTAACTTCCCGCCCAATTCCTAAAAAATCTCTCTTCCCAATAAAATATATTGAATTCTACTTTCCCATTTGTACAATAATTCTGGGTAAAAATTCTATTCTAAAATTTGAAAATAGTGTAATTCAATTCTCTTTGCACGTTTAATCTATTCTATATATAAAAACAAAATTCTGAAATTTTAACTTCCCGCCCAATTCCTAAACAATCTCTCTTCCCAATAAAATATATTGAATTCTACATTCCCATTCGTACAATAATTCTGGGTAAAAATTCTATTCTAAAATTCTAAAATAGTGTAATACAATTCTCTTTGCACATCTAATCTATACTATATATAAAAACAAAATCCTGAAATTTTAACTTCCCGCCCAATTCCTAAAAAATCTCTCTTCCCAATAAAATATATTGATTTCTACTTTCCCATTCGTACAATAAATTCTGGGTAAATATTCTATACTAAAATTATAAAATAGTGTAATACAATTCTCTTTGCACATCTAATCTATACTATATATAAAAACAAAATCCTGAAATTTTAACTTCCCGCCCAATTCCTAAAAAATCTATCTTCCCAATAAAATATATTGATTTCTACTTTCCCATTCGTACAATAATTCTGGGTTAAAATTCTATTCTAAAATTTTAAAATAGTGTAATACAATTCTCTTTGCACGTTTAATCTATACTATATATAAAAACAAAATCCTGAAAGTTTAACTTCCCGCCCAATTCCTAAAAAATCTCTCTTCCCAATAAAATATATTGATTTCTACTTTTCCATTCGTACAATAATTCTGGGTAAAAATTCTATTCTAAAATTATAAAATAGTGAAATACAATTCTCTTTGCACATCTAATCTATACTATATATAAAAACAAAATCCTGAAAGTTTAACTTCTCGCCCAATTCCTAAAAAATCTCTCTTCCCAATAAAATATATTGAATTCTACTTTCCCATTTGTACAATAATTCTGGGTAAAAATTCTATTCTAACATTTGAAAATAGTGTAATTCAATTCTCTTTGCACGTTTAATCTATACTATATATAAAAACAAAATCCTGAAATTTTAACTTCCCGCCCAATTCCTAAACAATCTCTCTTCCCAATAAAATATATTGAATTCTACTTTCCCATTCGTACAATAATTCTAGGTAAAAATTTTATTCTAAAATTCTAAAATAGTGTAATACAATTCTCTTTGCACATCTAATCTATACTATATATAAAAACAAAATCCTGAAATTTTAACCTCCCGCCCAATTCCTAAAAAATCTCTCTTCCCAATAAAATATATTGATTTCTACTTTCCCATTCGTACAATAAATTCTGGGTAAATATTCTATACTAAAATTATAAAATAGTGTAATACAATTCTCTTTGCACATCTAATCTATAGTATATATAAAAACAAAATCCTGAAATTTTAACTTCCCGCCCAATTCCTAAAAAATCTCTCTTCCCAATAAAATATATTGATTTCTACTTTCCATTCATACAATAATTCTGGGTAAAAGCTGTGAAGTGTAAAAAGTTCATTAATGCATAAGTTTTGACTCGGTTGTCCGTTTTGGACAAATGTTTTTTTGAAATTGTGTATTTTTTCGAGATATATCCACTGCAAACAGCCGTAGGCGGTTTGGCCCACCAATTTCTAAAAGAAATGCGTTATTAAATAGTTTTTAAGAAAAAACTATAAGAACTTTATGTTTTATTAATGAATTTTTAAATTTTTTAATTAAAAAATTGTCCCGTGCATTTTTTAATAATCTCTCTTTATAATTGGTCAAATTATTTAATTATGGTAGATTAGGGATAATTAATGATGGTAATAGAAATCCTATAAGCGACCTCTGGTGAAATTAACTCTTAAATAATTATATATCGATTTAAATATTCTTCGTATATTACAACAATTACATTCCGTGCATCGCATGGGTGAAAATACTAGTTGTAAATTAAAGGTAATGACTAATGGGAATGTAACGTGGCAAATTATATATGCATTATATTCCTATAACACACATGCAACCGGTGTGGTCGAGTGAAAATGACTCATACATCCTTAACTAAAGGTCAAGGATTTGATCCTTGACTTGACTTTGGGAAATCTCTAGGTCAGCTGTCACACCCAAAAGAGGTGCCTACAACTCAGCGAGAGGATTAGTCACTATGTTTGACAGTGAAAATCACCCAAAAGAGGTACCTACAACTCAGCGATAGGATTAGTCAATGTGTCAGACGGTGAAAATCACCCAAAAGAGGTGTCTACAACTCAGCGAGGGGATTAATCAATGTGTCAGACGGTGAAAACCCAAAAGAGGTGCCTACAACTCAACGAGGGGATTAGTCACTGTGTCCGACGTGATAACCCCGAGTATATATACCCAAAAAAAAAAACACACACACACACACGTATTTTCAATATATTATTTTTTAATAATTGTGTGATTAACTTGCAATAATAACTTTATTACATACGATAGTGACTTTATAAGCGTGTAATCGTTACGTAATTAATGGACATGTAATAATAATTTTATAAATATGAAGTAGTGAACTTTATGAATATTCAATAATATAGTCACTTTACAAACCTACATATTCATTAAAAATTTTGGATTAAAAAAAATCAATAAGGTGTTATTTAAAAAATCTATGTTAAATTTTTTTAATGATATATATATTTTTTATATAAATATTATTTGTGAAAAAGAAAATAGAAAATAAATTTATGTTGAAACAAATTTTGAAGAGAGAAATTAGGGATGACTTATTTACTTGGTACATGTTATTACATGCACTATATGAGTATATTTTTTGAAAAATATATGGTGCTTCATTAAAAATAGGCCGAAAGAATGTCTGGTGGGAGCAGATCCCAATACATAGTAGCAGATTGCTGATAAGTCGTAGTTGCTAAAGCATGAGCTAAATAATTATCTAATCTAGGAATTAAATGGAACGAATAAGACTGAAATAAAGATGCAGTAAGCCTGCAGCTGTCAATGGCATACTCTAAGTATGTGCGCAGCACAACGGTTGGTGTAGTAAGATAGTGATGTAGTGTCAAACAGTCCGTATATACCTCGACATTCTGTTCTCCTCGATCCTTCAACCATGATAGAGCCTCCTTACATGCGAGCGCCTCGGCCATAAGCGGCGAGGAGCATCCTTGTAGCGGTCCACTGCATGCCGAGATGTAGCCTCCATTCGTATCTAGCAAGACCGCCCCAAATGCAGCTTGGCCCGCCCCTTGCATAAACCCTCCATCCACACGGCATAGCCTCCTCGGCGGACCATGTGATGTCTCGGCAGCATGCAACTCGACTCCATGCAGCCCGGATCCCCCTTGCGGTTGAACCGTCCCGGATGGCAGCGCAATAGCTCGGGCTGTGGGCAGTGGGTGCGCCCGCGTCCATGCTAAACCGGCAGCTGCAGCGGCTTTGAGTACCGCCTCGGGGCGCGGTAACGTTGCCTCCCAGACCGCCCTGTTCCTTGCTCTCCAAACATTGTATAGAATTGCTGCTGCATATAACATTCCATCAGAGTCTAGAACATTTAAGAGTTCACCAAACCAATCATGAAAAACATTTGTGACTATATTGGGGATCGTGAGGTTAGATTTTTCCCAAATGTTCCTTGCATAATCACACAACACTAAAGCATGCATTGTGTCCTCTTGAGATATTCCACACATGGCACATTGTGGATCCACATCCACCCTCTTTATAAGCAAGTTTGTAGTGGTAGGCAATATATCACTAACGGCTCTCCAAAGAAACATTTTCCATTTTGGTGGGATTTTGAGTTTCCATAGGTGCAGCCATTTCGTAAATATCCCATTATTTCCTTGATAATTTCCTACTATTAGCCGGTATCCACTCTTAACAGAATACTCTCCTCTTGGGTCCCCATACCAGTACCAGGTATCATCATAATCCAGTGAGATGGGTATTTTCAAAATCTCTGTTACATCACTAGGTTGAAAAAGATCAGTTAAAATTGAGGGGTCCCAGTTTCCAGTTTGTTGATCAATCAAACCTGAGACCCTGGCTCCTTGCAACTGTACTGGCATTTCTGTCTGTATCATAGGGTCATGATCATTCCGTAACCAGGGTGGGTCCATATGAGTGTAGATTCCCCGTTACCAATTCTGCGCCTGACCCCACCACAAACTATACTCTTTGCTGCCATGATACTCCGCCAGCAGAAACTAGGATTATTTCCCACTTGTGCATCCATAAACGATCCTTTTGGGAAATAACGGGCCTTATACACACGTGCCACCAAGGACTCAGGCTTGGTCAACATTCGCCATGCCTGTTTCCCTAACATTGCTAGGTTAAAAGCTCGCAAATCTTTAAATCCCAACCCCCATACTTCTTAGGGATACACAGCTTATCCCATGCCTTCCAATGTATTCGCCTGTCAGTTCCAGAGTCCCACCAATACCGATTCATAATTCTCTCTATCGCCGTACACACGGATATAGGCAGCAAAAAAACACTCATTGAAAACGTAGGCATAGATTGCGCTACAGTTTTCAATAAAATCTCCTTACCCGCCTGCGAGAGCAGTTTTTTATTCCATGGCCCAATCCTTTGACGGATTTTATCCTCAATATACGCAAAAACTGCTTTTTTGTGTCTTCCAACAAAAGAGGGGGGTCCCAAATACTTGCCAAAATTCGGAGCCTGTGTCAGTGTGTCACTCCAAAAATCTGAGCCACATTATCCCTATCAACATTACTTGTATTTTTACTGTAACATATATTCGACTTATGATAGTTAACTGCCTGCCCAGACAGATCCTCGTACACCGATAAGCATCTTTTAACTTCAACCGCTTCCTCCACATTGGCTTTAAAAAACAAAAGACTATCATCCGCAAAGAATAAATGAGAGATTGGGGGGCACCTCTCGCTACCCTGCATCCATGTAACGATCCCACAGCATGTGCCCGCTGTAATAATAAAGATAGTCCTTCTGCACATATAATAAATAAGTACGGGGATAAAGGATCCCCTTGCCTTAATCCACGAGTGGGTATAATAGGATCACATCTCAAGCCATTCACCTGAATATTATAAGAGACTGTGGTGACACACTTCATAATCAATTCCACCCAACCATCATGAAAACCCAACGCCAGCATCATCTTACGGAGGAAAGACCATTCCACCCGATCATATGCCTTCGCCATGTCCAGTTTGAGAGCACTCCATCCCCCCACCCCACACTACTTTCTATTCAGAAAATGGCCCACTTCCGCAGCTAATAATATATTATCCGTTATCAGTCTATCCGGGATAAAAGCACTTTGCGACTCAGATATTATTTCCTCCATCAATGGCTTCATTCTGTTAGCTAGCATCTTTTCCATAACTCTATAGACCACATTACTAAGGGCTATAGGGCGCAAATCAGTTACAAACTCAGGGGTATTCTTCTTAGGGATCAAAACAATATCGGTTTCAGTCAACCCGGGCAGGAAATCACAAGATTCTACACAATTTATTATAAAACTCGCCACACCCCCTCCTACTACATCCTAGAAATGCTGATAGAAGCCCGGATTCATTCCATCCGGGCCTGGTGCCTTATCCGGGAACATTGCAAACAATGCACCCTTAACTTCTTTTAATTCAAAAGGCCGCAGCAAGCTAGAACTCATTCTGTGCCTGTGTGACTCGCGAAGCAATCCCCTCGAAAAATCCCTCCCCAGTTCCCGGGGTTCCAGCAGTAAAAATACGATTATAATATTGCAAGATAACATTTTTCATAGGCTCCCCCTCCACCCAAACCCCATCATCATTCATCAATCTAGAAATAGTATTCTTCTTTTTTCGGTGAGAGGCATACCTGTGAAAAAACTTCGTATTAGCATCCGCCTCCTTAAGCCAATGTTGCTTAGCTCGCTGCCTCCAATAGGCATCCTCCTGAGCTTCAGTGCAGCTTAACAGCCGTTCTAGGCGCTGGAACTCTGCAAGCGAGGCCGGGTCAGTACGCCCCCTTAGTCGCTATTGTTCCCTTGTCAGCTCATTGATCCGTTTTCCGTACTTATGGTATCGGTTCCCACCCCATCGTGTTAACCGGTTCCCACAGTACTGAATGCAATTCTGTAAACCCTGGCTCCTCCCCTCCTGCCAAGACTGCTCTACCACACTCCTACACCCCTCATCATGCAACCATGTCATCTCAAACCGGAACCCCCTCCTCCCAGGCCCAACACCCCCACCGTACTCACGAATCCCCAGAAAGAGAGCCGAGTGATCAGATTTCCGGGTTCTCAGATTCATCACCTTAGCCCCCGTCACCACACCCCGCCACTCATTTGTCACTAAGACCTTATCTAGCCTCTCCTCCATCCATTTTTCTGTCCCCTTCCCCTTCTCCCATGTGTACGGATACCCAGTCATAGGCATCTGAGCAAGCCCACAGTCCTCAATAGCTTCCCCAAAACCGCGTAGGAGACTATTCGGATGTGGATTCCCCCCTCTTTTCTCATTCTGATACAGCAAATCATTAAAATCTCCGATGACAACCCATGGGAGGGTTGACCTGCCCGATAGTGTTCTCAAGAGATCCCATGACTCAGTGTGCCTCGTTCGTTCCGAGAAACCATAATAACCCGTCATTCTCCATTCCGGAAAGCCAGCAATGGTTTCCCCAACATCAACGTAGTTCGTTGAGTAACTCAGCAGCCGGGCCGTACAATTCTTTTTCCACAATAACGCTATACCACCACTCAACCCATCACTATCAACATAAAATAGACCCTCATATCCTATCTTAACACGTAATCGCTCTGCATGATCGCGTGCCACTTTAGTTTCCATCAGAAATACAAAGTCGGGTTGCTTTCGGGACACCATGTCCACAATCTCACGAACCGTGCGTGGATTACCCAAGCCACGGCAGTTCCAGCTAAGGGTACTCATTGATCCGGGCGGGTCTGGGAACCAGAACCCGCCTGCTGCAAGTTTTTTGAGAACTCGGCCATCACAACATCCCCTCCCTCATATGTCCGTCCCTCACCACCCACCTCCTCCCGGCGCCTCTTAGCCACCTCCACCACACCCTCCTCTACTACCTCATCAACTCGGTTCCCAACCCCCGGAGACCCGCCCACTGCCACCCGGTCAACCTTCGGATTCCGGCCCACAGCATGCCGTTTCGGCGGTAAAAGCCAACTCCCGCCCACCGGTCTAGGGCCACGGCCACCACCCGCCCGCAATTCCGGGCCGTACAAATATTCCTCCACTGACAGCTTCGAATCCCTGGCCCCATGACAAAACTGATATGAATGTCCAAGCATCCCGCAGAAGTAGCAATAAGTATGCAGGCGTTCATACTTGAATGTTACCCAGCAACACGTCTTGTCCCGCTTAATAAAATTCATCCGCCTTTTCAAGGGTTTGTCAACAGACAACGAAACCCTAATCCGATGAAACACCTTCCATGGGACATTGTCGAACCGATCATCAACCTTAACAAACGTACCCAAAAAATTCCCAATCTGTTCCAAGATCCGACTGGACGAATATCCATTCGGCGCTCCATGCAATTGAACCCATAGGTCTATCGTATCCAACACTACATCAGCCGGCATGACCCCGTCCGGGACTTGCTTACATACCAACGTGCTATTGTCAAAAGCCCAGGGCCCCTCATTGAGAACACGTTCCATGTCCGTTACGTGATGGAAAACAAATAGGAACCTGCCCGGTTCTACCTCCGTTGCCTCAACTCCGCTCACAGGTTGCCATACCGAAGCCAGGACCTGACTCATGAATTCCAACCTGACTAGCTTCCGTGTCAAGAACCTCCCCACAACCCCCTAACTCTCCTCTACATCTTCCACCACCTCCTCCGTGTCCGTCCCTTCATCCGGCATAAAAGCCGACGCTTCCTCCTCCAATACAACGTCCGCCCACCTGGCTGCTATTCTCGCCACCTCCTGCTCCACTGGCGTAGACGCCATCCTGCCTGCAGGCGTACGAAAACCGCTTGTCGTTGCTTCGGATTCACCGTAGAAAACTATGTCGATGGATCGACGGGAAAGACCTAGAAACCCTAGGTAGAGAGCGTTTTTTTGCACTTGTAATACTACCCTTTGTTGTTCCACTATATGAGTATATATATGGTCCATGATATAACTATCGATGGATGATAATTTTCCATGTCCGATGGGGATCTCCAATCTCCACCCTAAGGGCAACGAGGGCAAAAAATTTTGGACAATAGAGATTGAGATGGGAATTGTTTGCAATTTTCTATTAAGAATGGAAACAAAGACAAGGATATCCTTTCTCGACCCGATCTAAGCTTGTCCTTGATATTAAAATTTAAAAACATATGTATATATAATATAATATAATATAATACAATATGAAGTATAATACAATATAATATACTTAATTATTATACTTAATAATATGCTTTTTTTTCCATTAGTCCAAAACTCCAAATTCACTACTCCCTTTGGCCTTCTCCCTAATCCCTATATTTTAATATAGTTATGATAAAAAATTTTGCCCAATATATATATTTGATAATTAGGAATTTTGAACTTTGGTCGTAATAATTGAAAACTTATTGATTATTGAAGAATTGTAGAGTTAAGTATTTTAATTTTTAGAAGTGGAAATCAACATTTGATCTCTCAATTATTTTTTAACTGTTAATATAGTTTATAGTTTTCAATTTAAACCAATTTGATTATTGAATTGTTTAAAATTTCGTCAATTAAACTCTTCTAGGGACCAAATTGACGAAATTTTAAAAATATAGAAATCAACATGTTGGTCATTAAAAGGGTTTTTTTTTTTTTTTTTTGAATGCTACTAGCTCTATTACATTGTAGTATCTGTTCATATACTTTCTCAACCTACTGAAACACAAAGAGCTAATAACGCCTCCACTGAGGCTCGAACTTACAACCTTCCAAATGGAAGTCCAACCCGGGTACCATTGGACCACATAGTCCTGGTGGTCATTGAAAGGGTTTAATTGATGAAATTTTAAACAATTGGAAGATCGAATTGATTGAAATTGAAAATTAGGGACTACATTGGCAATTGGGAAACAATTGGGAGACTAAAATGGTGATTAACTCTTTTTAGAAATAAAACATAGTTTTTTAATTTTTTAATTTTTTTTTATATTTGATTATTAAAACTTATATTAATTTAATACTAGGACTACGTGGTCTAATGGTATCCGGGTTGGACTTCCATTTGAAAGATTATGAATTTAAGTCTTAGTGAAGGCGTTATTGGTTCCTTTATGTTTCAGTATGTTGAGAAAGTATATGAAACGGGTTTATTGAGGATGGGGACTTCTTGTCCCCGTATATTTTTCTTGGAGACGTGGACAAAGAGTATGTTCCTATCCCTACCTCGTCCTGTTAATATTCCTAACAATAGAATTTTGGTCTATGTAACTATATATGTCCCATTTATTGGTTGAATTCTTTTGGTAAAAACAGCTCTAGGTTACTTGTAATTTAAAATAGCGTACTAGATCCTAGCATGACATTTTTCAGTAAATGAGATTCCAAAGTTTGGGTACTACTTTAAGGGGCATTTGGTTCAGGTTATATAGACATTCCAAAGTTCACAATCGTCTGTTTGGTTCATATTATCTCAAGGAATCTAACATTCCAAACGAATGTCACATTCCCTCCACATAGGATTTTGAAGGGAATGTGATTCCCTTCAATTTCTAAGGTTATGTAAGATAACCTTGGTTATGTTAGTTTATTACACACACACACACACACACACACACATATATATATATATATATATATATATATAATTATTTTTGTAATTATATATGATACCGTTATCTTATTTATTTATTTTAATTTTTAAATTTATTAAAATATATGAAAATATGTTAAGGGTATTATAGTGTGTGGATAAAAGATAACCATAAACCAAACATGATTATATTACATACCTTAATTTTAACCAAACACAGGAATCTAACATTCCCAGCAATCTAACATTCCCTGAGGTATCTGACATTCCGTGAACCAAACGACCCCTAAGGGATTGTTTGATACAAGTTTTATTATTGTGAGTGGTTCAAGGGCAACAACACAAGTTGATGTGGCAATTGGTGGTTTTTCTAGCTATAGTCCGTTACAAGGAATTATTCTGAACTGAATTTTAGTAGAGAGCAATTTACCTTAGATAAAGGCCCTGTTTGGTAAAAAATTGGCCTATAGGCCAATTTTAGCTTATTTGACCACTATTAATTGTTTAATTTAGTTAAAATATCAATATAAATGTTTGGTTAATTAGCTTTTTGCAACTCCAAAAGGCTAAAATTAAAAAAGCTACTCCTATCAACATTTTCAATTAGCTTTTTGAGAAAATAAATTATACCAAACAGCTATCAACTAACAGCTAATTTACCAAACACTTTTCTACAATCAGCTAATGTTATCAACTATTTATACCCTCTAATTAACACAATCAGCTAACAACAAACAGCTATCAGCTAACAGCCATTTTACCAAACAGGGCCAAAGTGTTTATGAAAGATAGATTTCGGGAGAGAAAGATAACAAATCTAACATTTTTAGTCTATTAAGGCCGGACTTGATTAATTTCATAGTTTCAAGAAATAGAAAAATTATACGAGCTAGTTGACTTAATTTGTTAGCCAATTTTTCCTTTACAATTATGTGAAGTTGTCAAATCTACTTGTTGGAATTTTTTGATCTTGGTTTGGTTTCTATGATCTAGTACATGATGGAGAGTGGCATCAAGCCTCCCCAATTAATAGGCACTAATTATGCTTATTGGAAGGGCGAGGTGAAAATGTATCTTCACCTGATGCAGTGTGTTGGATATATAACTGCGACATATGCATATGCTTTGTTGTAGGATCATGGTTGAAGAAGTGAAATTGTGTCGTCAACGCCTCGAAAATATGAACTTATGAGATATGAAAAGATTACATACTAAACTTAGAAGTTGTGAGAGGGGTACCCAGATTCAAAATTCAAACTAATGAAGTGTATATGAACCGTGTCAAGTAGGGAAGTAAATATGTACATTACATAAACCTCAGAAGTGCATCACAACCACAACATGTCTTGAATTATTACACATGGATTTGATCGAACCCAACAAAAGTTGAGAGTATAAAAGTAAGAAATACATATATATATTTGTTATTGTAGATGATTTCTCACGCTTTACATGTGTTATGCTTCTTAGGGAGAACTCAAATTCACTGTCAACTTTTAAGAAGCAGTGTTAGCGCCTACAAAAGGAAAAAAAATGAACCTATAGTAAGCATTGTGAGATTGCAATCAAATCATGGTAGGGAATTCGGGAATGAAGGGTACCGGTATGCTGAATTTTGTTATCAACATGGGATCAGACATAGATTTGTTGTGCCAATTAAAAACACCCCAACAAAATGGTGTAGTAGAAAGAAAGAATATGATGCTACAAGAAAGGGCAAGAATGTTATCAATTGAAAGAAACTGCATTAGTGTAGTTTTCGTCCTAAAGTTACGTTGTCCATACAGCATGTCATGTGATAAATCATGTGTATCTATGCACAATCACTAAGATGACATTTGGAAATGGAAAAAACTGAATGTCAAGTATTTCCACATGATCTTTGGCATATTAGGCTGAAGTTATCCCTGCAAATGTATCCATTTGCAAGATGATTTGACGGCACATGGATTTTTTTTTTTTTTTTTTTTTTGTTATCTGATGTGTAATGCAAACTTGCAACTGTTGCAAGTTTGCAAAGTACAAAGAAGGCTGCCGAATGGCAGCCTTCTTTGTACTTTAGTATTGCAAGGCAGCATGGCTGCCTGCAAATTTGTACGTTTCTTTATTTTTTTATTATTTTATTATTATATATATAATATAAAATGAAAGTAGGACCTATTTTTGAGAGAGAGATATTTGTAGGGATGTAGCGTGAATAGTAGATGATTTGCAAATGAGATGATGTGGAAGTGAGACCCATTTTTGAGGGTGGGAGATGTTTGCAGGGATAAGGACAGCCTTACATCTTGAATGATAAATGATGTGGTAAATACATTATGGTATTGCCTATAGTGAAAATTGAATAGAAGGTCATATGCTCCCCATCAAGCTATAATGGAATCCATAAATGTTTGGTTGATGATTAGATAATAAGCAATCATTATGAACATGTATCATTTACTCCTTACTAGAATATGTCATAGTAAGACCATGAAAAACCAAACCAAAACTAGGGTGGTTCTTTCGTGGTTGAAAAACGAACATGGCGCCACTTACGAATGTGCTTGCCCACACTCTTGCAAGGTGGCCGATTCGCTCTTCTATTTGAATGTCTACCATTCATTTTTGTATTCAACATTTATTCCCTTTAATATAAAGTTTTTTGGTTTAAAAAAAAAAAAAAAAAAAAACTTAGGAAGAATTATATTGAATTGGCAGGATATCTATGTTGCACATCTCAAGCTAAACTAAATAATGTCAAATAGGCTTTAATTGATGGGATATGGTACCAAGAACGAGAGATGTAAACATCATAGGTAACTGAGGAGTGAGGACATATCATTACTTTAATTGCATCTTTAGTACATACCATATAACCCTAAGAAAATATATTGTCCTAATTACACATATTTTACTTGTTAAATATTTTAAATTTAATGACATAATTGTACAAAAGTATAAGTGGTACTAGTTATGAACAGATACTACAATGTAATAGAGCCAGTAGCTTTCAAAAAAAAAAAAAAAAAAAAGTATAAGTGGTACTACTAATAAGTTTGTGACTTATTTGATAAAAACAAAATTTCCTTTACAAACACCTTTATATTTAGTTAGGTCAAGGAATATAATATAAACAATATAAGTATTCAAATGATACACATATATAATTTAAAAATAAATTTGTTACTTGCTTGATTCATGGAAAAACTTTCTCACTTTATAGAGAGGGATTTTCTCATTTTCGTTACGTTGTTGATCAATGATCACTGATATGGATCGGAACATTTGCAAACAACGAATATATGCTAACATTTTTTTTTTATTTAGAATTTTTTATTTAATTATAATTTGATTATTATTATAATGAATATTGGGAAAATGACACTTTCCCCTATGTGCTATATACTTATAGTATTTTTCCCTTTAAATTATTTAAGTGGCAATTTTTCCCCTCTGATATGTTAAATGGACATATTTACTCTTAAAATAAATACTTCATTTATTTTTCTTCTCCAACAAATTATAACCACGATTTGAAAAATAAAATACATTAATTGTTGAATTTAGAATATTTTAAAAATAAAAAAAATAAAATTTTAAAAGAAAATTTGAATCAGCAGTTCAAATTGGATTCGAAACCGTGAACCGACGGTTCAAAATAAAAATCAAATTGCGGTTATATATACTTATATGTGAGAGTTAGTATAAATGTGAAAAAAACATATACTATTTGCAAATAATGCCAAATATTATAATTCTAATTTTAAGCTAATGCTAGTAGTTGTTCCGATTTGAACCTTTGGTGTGCAGTTCACGATTTTAATAAATGGAAACCCAAATATTGGGTTATGTTCTGAATCATAACTGAAAATTTTTGATTTGACTGCTATAGTGTTCGGTTCAGTTCGAATCGAACCGTGGTCATCCCTACGTATAAGCTATAATTTGTTGAAGAAGATAAATAAATAAAATATTTATTTTAAGGGTAGAAATGTTCATTTAATATATCACGGGAAAAACCGCCACTTTTATAATAATTGAGGGGGCAAATGTGGATGCATGAATAACTCACGGGAGAAAAGTGCTATAAGCATATAACTCAGGGAGAAAAAATGTCATTTTCCGATGGATATTTATTATTATTTATTAACTGTAAATTTTTTAAGGGAAAATGACAATTTTTCCCCCTGAGTTATATACTTATAGCACCCCCCCCCCCACCTCCCCCCGATATAATAAATTTACATTTCTACCTTTAAAAGTAGACATTTTATTTATTTTTCTTCTCCAACAAATTATTGCGTATATGTAGGGATGACCACGGTTCGATTTGAACTGAACCGGACACTATAGCAATCGAATTAAAAGTTTCCGATTATGATTCAGATCCAGAACTCAATATTTGGATTTCAGTTTATTAAAATTATGAATCGAAAAAACTGGATCTTGAATCATGAATCGGCGATTCCGGATCCAGTTCGCGATTTTGAACCGTCTTTATTTTAAAATAGTCTAAATTCAACAATAAATGTATTTTTTTTTTTAGTTCGGAACATGAACCGGCCGTTCTGGTTCGCGATTTTCATAAACTTTAAATATCGGATTTCGATTCTAAATTGTAATTGGAATATTTCGGTTTTGTTGCTATAGTGTCTGTTTGGTTTGAACCAAATTGTAGTAATAATTTGTTGGAGAAGAAAAATAAATGAAATATTTATTTTAAGGGTAAATATGTCAATTTAACATTGCTTGGGGAAAACAACCATTTAAATAATTTAGGGAGAAAAAGTGCTATAAGTATTCAGGGAGAAAAAGTGCTATAAGTATATAACTCAGGGAAATAAATGCTATTCATATGTTTTTTTATAGAGTTAATTCCAGCAATGGTTCCCCGAATATGATGATTTTTCAGAATTGATCCTGACTTTTAATTTGGACAATTTAACTATCTGACTATCGAATTCTTTCCAATTGAGTTTCTTCCGTCAATGCATGTTAAGTGAACGTCTATTTTAGGGGTAAAAACGTACTTTCCCTTAGTGCACTTGTACTCTTGGCCAACCAATCCTCTTTATGGCTCTCCGAAGTCGGGATACGCTTCCAGGCGTCTGCCGAAACACGGAAGCCAAAAACAACAACCCCCTCTGTAACGCCAGTTCCTCAAAATCATCATTCTCGTCTGCATCTTCCGGTGTGGCATTCTCAACGGTCATGTTCAATCAACAATCCCCCAAAAAATAACAGGAGAAAGCAATCAAAAAAAAAAAGAAAATAAATTTACGATCTTTGTGATTTGTAAAGAGAAAGTTACAAAAATTTGGCTCTCCGTCTCCGGAGACTCGGAGAGCCCAATGATTCCCAACCTTTACATGTGTGTGTCTATATATATATATATATATATATATATATATATATATATATATATATATATATATAAATAAGGGGATGAAAGCGGAGAAATAGGCATAAACAACTTATGTGGCTACACATCTGTAAAGTGTATAAACAAATTCTATGGTGTCGTGATCTTGTAAATGTTGCTGTTTTCAGAATCTAAAATGAAGACTTCTCCGGTCGGCGAAACCTCCACAAAGTATGACTCAACTCCCAATTTGTTTTCATCATCAAAGATAGTATCAATATTGTATCCTTTCTCAAATTCATTCTTGGAAAAAGCTTTGAAAGGCAAGGAAAATCATATCTTTAATGACTGCTACACAGAACAAACAGACAAAAGGAGAAATTCTTAAAAGGCCTCTCTTCTCGCCTAGTTCCATCTCAAATTTTAGCGACACCAACCATTTGAAAGAGCAGTGACAACATTCGTAACAACCCCACATACCACTTCTGCATACATACGTAAAACAAATGAAAAAAAAAAAACAATAAAAATCCAAACTTGGGTCATGACAAAAATGCAAAATGCACTTACTTGCAGTAGGTGATGTTGAAGCTGACGAACATCCAAGAATGAAAAATCTCGTATGTGGTCTCCACCACCGCGCCGTTACGCCGAACAACAACCATTATAGACGACCACCACCATCTGCCGTTATTACCGCCCAGCTACGCAGTCCATGTGGTCTGCTTGCTACACTGTTGACGAAGAGAAGACGGAAGAGGGAAGGAGAAGAGAGAGGTGAGGAGGGAGGAGGAAAGTGACAGAGGTCCATGGTCTTGCCCTCGGAGAAGAGGAAGAAGATGGAAGGAACGAAGACAGTGAAGAGGAAGGGCTGCCGACCATTGCTGGAATTAACTTATTTTTTATATGTTAACAATTAATTTTTCTAAACGTTGGCCTACAAATAGTTAATAAATTCACTGATTAAAACTATTACCACAATATTACTTAGCAATACCAAATATCTTATTGCTATAAACTTACAAGTATATTTATTATGAGAAAAGAATACTACACAATCTATGCATTCAAAGAATATAAATGATTATACTATTTTTTTGAATAGATAGAAAAAGTATAAAATAGATACTACCTTGTAATATAGTAAAAAAAAAAAAAAGTAATGATAAAAAAATTTAGTCATTGATAATTATTATTTATTTATTGACTTTTATGAATAATAAAGTGAGTCAACCAAATATAAAATATAAAAACAATCAAATATTTCTATGAGATGAAAATTATGAAGTGAATATTATTGGAGTAGAAATTAGAAATGAAAACTAATAAATAAAAGAGTTAATGACATATGAATGCTTCGAGTATAATGATTTTGTTATTTTTAATCTTAAATTTGTAAATTTATAATATGTAGTCTTTCAATTTTTAAATTGTTATCATCTATAGTCTAAATTTACAACTAATAGTCTTTCAACTCTCAAAATTTAATCATTTATAATTCATTTACATAATTATGATTGGTTTAATTTTAAAAATTGAAAAATTATTTTTAATTAATTTAAATAACAAATAATAACAATTTGAAAATGATAGGATCATAAATAATAAATTTAAAAGTTTAAAATTAAACATGACAAAATCGCGTATATAGTATATTCATAAACAAAAGTCGTACGGAAGTTCAGTTGTACTTTTCATTTTCATGGTGGGCCAACGCGTTTTTCAGTGGTCCCACTTTTCCCTATTCCATACCGGCTTCTCCGTTGAACTACCAAAAATTCAGTTCATATCTTTTACAGTATCGACAAGCCAAGGTGCACGCCTCGTCCTCCTCCGTTCTCCAGTTTGTATTCTTCTCCTTAATTTCTTGTCTTTCTATTTGTATCTATACACTCATACAGAAGAAATCTCGAGATTTTTTTTTTTTTTTTTTCTGATAAAGTAATATATTGTTGATCATGTTTATCTTTTTGTCTCCTCAACCGCCGTTACAGCGATCAGCATTACTCGTCCTCGATGGTTGATTTACTCCGTAGTGGAAGCAGTAGGGTTGCTGTGATTTGTGTTCGGACTGCAATTCCTGTGGTTTGAAGGTGTCGAGAATGTCACATAAGCGGCAGAAGGGTGATGATTCTAAACCCCAGCAGGATTGTGGAACTTCCGATGACAAGCGCCGTCGGAAAATCCCCTCTCTCAAAAGGTTCTGACGCATCTATTTCCTTCTTCGTTTTCATAATTGTATTTGTAGCCTAGACTCTGTCATATAATCCAGGTGTTGTATAGAATGGAATTTTCTGTTAATTCTGGAATTCTATATATGCTTATTTGAATGCACACTTGAAGTCCTTTTGCTCTAGTAGGAGAGTCGGTGGATTTTTCCAACAATAAAAGTTGTTAAATAATTCGGTAATTTTGCTGCCTTTGTGATTTATGATGGAAATTTGAGGTGGTTTTCCTTTTTTATTTTAGTTTTAAGTTTTTAGGTTTTAGTATTACTACTAAGAACAATATTTAGACTATTTTACTCTGCAAAAGAGTGTAATGGCCAATCATATGTATTTTGATTTCGGAAATGGAATCCTGAGGATTGCTCTTAATTACTGCAAATGGAAGACACACTGTCCTGTTATTTTGCTGATGATGAAAATGGAAATTGCACTGAACAAGTTATATGAGACTTAGTTTCGTACACACTTTGTAGCATACTAGCATTACTACTTTCAAATTTCTTCTAAGGTATAGAGCTATAATTTCTATATGCAAGTATGCAACACACCCAAGTTCATAGAGGAGTTACTGGTTGCTGATGCTTGTATAAATCTTTTCTAGTATAATTATTTTATAAAATAACCAACTTTAAGTGTTGCTGACATGCTTTTTCTTGCCTGTTTTGGGTAGTGTACTTTTGATATAAGGAATTAGAACTTAGTGCTTTTCCATGACTGACTATCATTTTGTATTTTTGTAGTGCGATATTGCAGGTTATTAATTTGCGTAAAGTGCATAATTATATCGAGCCAGTTCTGGAGCCTTTGATTCGTAAAGTTGTAAGTTCGTATTGCTAAATTTCGATTTTGGTTTTAGCAGTATATAGTATATTGGCTTTCCTTGGTTTCACTGTTTCAGCTAGCAATTGTTATCTTGGATGAACTGACTGTTGCGAGATTTGTTAATTATTCAATGGCATGCATGAAAGTTCTTTAATATTTCTCCTGTTTCTGCGGCAAGTTTGTGAATTAGTCACAGCCTTGGAAGCATCACAGCTAAGAGTACTTTTTAGCTTGAGAAACAAGTGAAAATTTTATTTGAAGCTTTTTCCTTTTGAATATTGTTTGCAGTGCCTAATAAGAAGCTCTTTTGTGATATTTTTGAACAATGAGAAGTATCATAATATGTTAATATGATTTGACCATCAAATTAATGGTTGATAAGTTATTTTGTAGTTTATATTCATATTTCATTCCTTTTTTATTTTTTAAAGTGCTTCACATAACATTCTAATTTACATAGAATCTTGCATGTGCTGTTTTTCCCGACATTTTAATACACCCTAATGACCATTGCTGATAAACTACTTGTTGGTTTTATTGACTACCGGAGTAGTCAAACGGCGGGCCAACACTATCGGAAAATTAAGAAACAAGATTGCTGGAAAAGTATTTTCATTGCTTGTGTATGCGTATGAAAAGCTTAACCCTTTTATGAGGTGCTCTAGGCCTATTTATACAAGAGATCAAGGACTTAATTTAGGTAACCCTAAACTATCATAAATACAGTTGATTTTCTTTCGTTATGGCTTCCGGATTTCCCTCCACCTTCCACAAGCTCCGCCCCAAATCTCTTCTGGATACGACTAGCATCTCAACACCTGGCTGAGTCCTTATCGGAGTCTGCACATCCTATGTTTTGACTGACCAATCCGTTTAGTCGTCCGTTCGCCTAGCTATTCTATTCAGGTGCGACTCCTTTAGGCATTCGGTCTCCTGCCCTCGGCCAGCTACCTGGCATACTCTGCCCGGCACTTCGCGCGAGCATATGTCCGTGCGGCCCCATTCCGCGGCCGCTCAGCTGACTGCTTATCGGTCTCACTTGGTGCCCTGCTGGCTCCCTCGACCGTCCTCCCTCCCGCCTGTCTTCGTCAAGCATCCTTCCGTCCGATCGACTGACCTGTCTGCCCGCATGACTGGCTGCTTCCATATCTCTGTCGGCCTGGCTGCCTGCGCCTGCTTGCCCGACTAGACAGTGCTCATCTGACTGGTACCCTACCTTTCGCACTCGGTCTACCCGTTGACTCCGCCTATCCTCCCTTACCTAGTCCGACTGGGTGTATGCCCATCCCATCACTACTATTATTAAACTTTAATTGGAAAACATTAGCCAGAATTCAGAATGGATTCTTAAGGTAATAATAACTTTCTAATTCTTAAATTTTAGTGTTCTTTAAGTTTGCTTTGGTTGAATGGGTGTAGTCTGATCGCTTATTTAATGCTAACTACAATAACTGTAGCGAACTGCTGGTACACAAATGATTTACTAATTACTACCAACATTTACACCTATGTTATATGTTATTTATGGATTTGATTGCATGTTATGAATTTATATATATATATATATATATATATATATATATATATATATATATATATATTAAGTGAGGTATAAGAAATTTAGTTACTAATCTGAGCTTACAGGTACGAGAGGAAGTTGACTTGGCATTGAGAAAGTACATGACCAACTTGAGGTGGTATGAGTTTTGACTCCTTGATTATAGAAATTGAGTTTTTCATTTAATCATTCATCATAAATATAAATTTATATTTGAAAGAAAATTTTACTGATTCCATGTTTTGTTTAGGAATTGTGAGAAAGATGTACACCTTTATGAAGTAAGAAGCCTAAAATTAATGTTCTTGAATTCTATCTCTCCTCCTGTATTCACTGGGGCTCGCATAGAAGGAGAAAATTGCTCAAGTTTGAAAGTTGCGTTGGTTGATGCTCTTACTGGGCAAACTGTGACAAGTGGTCCTGAATCTTCAGCAAAGGTGGAAATTGTAGCTCTTGAGGGTGATTTTGATGGCGGTGAAAGGGACAAATGGACTTTGGAAGAATTTACTAACAACATTGTCAGAGAGAGGGAAGGAAAGAAAGCTCTTCTTAGTGGAGATGCTTTTTTGAATCTCAAGCAAGGCATTGGTTTGGTTGGTGATATTTCCTTTAGTGATAATTCTAGCTGGACTAGAAGTCGTAAGTTTAGATTGGGGGTGAGACTTGTGGATAACTTGGATGGAATTAAAGTGAAAGAGGCAATATCTGAGTCCTTCATTGTTCGGGATCACCGCGGAGAATGTAAGCTCGAATTTAATTGTTTTTATTGTCAGCATAAATAGTATATTAATAAATCACTGCATTATTTATGCATAGATTACTTTAGTAACATGGTATCTACCAAAGAATAACGATAGTGAGGACCTCTATCTCTGCTGAGTTTACAAGTTTAGTAGTGATTTTAAGTTGCTCCTTTTAGGCCTTAAGTAGAAAATACTAGTAAGTGTAGTTATGGCATAGTTGATAATTGATCTTGCATTTACTCAGATCTTAATCTTTCTTGCTCTTCATCATCTCGCAATTAGATGTTCCTTGTATAGATGAAGTTGTCTTGCAATTTCCTTTTAGCATTACAGAGAACTTAGTTTTGCTAATGTTTTCTAATATATCTAGGTCAAGTGAGTTTTCATAGAGTAGCTTTTTATTTTCAGATAGCAGCTATTGGAGAGTAAGCACTTGTTGTGAGGAGTTCAGTAAATTGATCAATTCTTTGTCTTTGAAAAGTTTGCCAGACAAATTTGTATTTGTTCAAAACTTTTGAGTGACTTTTGTATAAGAGAATAGTTTGTTTTTTGGTCATTCATGTTACCATAGCACATGTCAGAAAGCAGAAAGAAATAATTGCATAGAAGCTCCCAGCTGAAAAAGCTGGAAATGCTCCAAATTGAAGCATTCTTAATGACTTCCTGAACAATTAATCACATTAAATTGTTTCGTGGAGCAATTTAATTCCCTGATTTGCTTGCAGTGTACAAGAAGCACTATCCGCCATGTCTCCTGGATGAAGTATGGAGGCTTGAAAAAATTAGTAAAGAAGGGGCATTTCATCGGCGCTTGAAGAAGGAAAGAGTCATCACAGTGAAAGATTTTTTAACCTTATTTTATCTTGAGCCTACAAGGCTACGGAAGGTTAGAAGTTATTGCATATGTTTGCTTTTTTGAAGAACTTATAAATCTTGCAAAACGTTATTTGAATTTAGTAGAAAATATAGATGTAAGATGATTGTCTTTGCATTGAAATTATACTTTCTTTCTTGGGCCCTATATCTAAGAATGTCTAGAATCTACTCCCTCTGCCCCACTTTGTGTGTTGTTCAATTTATGAGGATTAACTCAAATCGTTTACAATTCAATCGTCATATTAATTAATTTTGTTTTAGTGCACTAAAACTTATATATTAGAAAATTCATAAAAAGTTATATATTAAATACAAAATGCAAATTTAACAACTATATAAAAAGTTAAAGAAAACAAACAAACAAAAAAGAGTTGATTTGACTTTCAAATAATAAACATAATAGGTAAAATGGGAACAAAGAGTAGTTACTAATGTTTGAATAGTGTTAATCTGAGGATACTGGAGAATGATGTTTAGTGTTGCTTCACAAGTTCACATTTAGGTTTTGTTGAATTATTTGATTTTTTTTTTTGCTTTTCTAACATTCAAATCTTTACTGATATAATCAACCATGTTTTGAGATTCTAAAATTTCATTATCCTTGAGAGTTAATTTTCATTTTCTGTTATCTTGTGTAGTATTTACTATATTTTCTAGAAATCTTGCAGATCCTTGGCGCAGGCATGTCTGCTAAGATGTGGGAAATCACTGTGGAGCATGCCAGGACATGTGATGTCGACAAGCAATTGTATTCATACCACCCTTCTGGATCTGACCAAAAACATGGTGTCATTTTTAATATCGTGGCACAAGTGATGGGGCTTCTTGTTGACTGTCAAAACTATGTTCCCGCAGACAAACTATCTGAGACTGAAAAGGCTCGTTTCTAATGTTATTGATTTTTATGTTCCTACTGTGCTTCTATTTCTTAAACCGTTTTACGTTTTGCTGTCTATCATCTTTTGCTCCTAAATGATCCATTGTTCTCTGCATATTCAGTTGAATCTAAGCCTGAGCCGATTCTATTGTAACTGTTTTCAGGTTGAAGCTCATAAGTTAACTATTTCTGCTTTCGGAAACTGGGAAGATGTGAACCGTTTCAATGATGAGTCTGCAGAGTGTTCAAATGTCCCCACAATTCAATGCTCTACAAACTTATCCACAACTGTTAACTCTGCTTACAGCGATATATTGACTTCACAAAAGTTTACCAGATTTGATGCTCAGCATTTTAGTGCTGCAATGCCCGATGCCATGTCATCCATGTATTCCCCAAGTGGTTTGAGTAGCTTGGATGATTTTGGTTTTCAGTGTCTTGAAAATGCGGGTATTGATTTCGACCTACCACTGAGTTCCCCTGTCCAAGATATCAATTCCTTCATCCGGGATGCAGATTCTGTGATTGGGGATAGGTCTCTTCCGTACTTCGACCATGATTACATTCAAACTCCCATCTTCGATCCACCAGAAGCTGATCTACATAGTGTTTGCAATAAGTTCCCGGCCCAGAGGAGATGGAAAATATTGTGCAGTGTATTCAGAGTGTTCTCGGTTAGGAGAATTGTTGCGAATAAGGGGAAAGAAATATGTTCATAGAATGAAAGTAGGTATGGAATCAGTAGTTGCTGCCAATCATGATACAAATCGGTGGAGTGAGAGTAGTAGGAGGTTGGTTCTACAGTTGTTGTATATAAAAATGGTAGACAATCAGATTCTTTTAGGGAAAACTGTTTTTGGTTTTCCGATTACTAGCAATTAGTGGATATAGGATCCTGTAAATGCCATGGATTCCTCTATCATCATGCTTCGCTTCTTGCCAACCGATTATGTTCATAAATTACAGTTTGCAATTAGAGATTTTTTTGAGGTTGTGATAATCTCTCTTTTTATAGAGAAAATGATATTTTTAGTCCTTGAATTGAGGCATAATTATTTACTTTGTTCTATCCATGCATATTTCAGAATTTGATTCCTTTTGTCTCATTGTCTGGACATTACCTTGGGTGGAGAGGAGAGGTTTGAGTCTCATGACCTCTGAGGCTGCTAATTCACAATATGTGAAAAGAATAAGACTAGCTAAATAAGAGGGTGAGAATTCACTCATTTCATGTGGGTGATAAGATTTTAATTTCCCATTGATTCATTATTGTCACATGGAAAATCAAGCACAAGTTTTCTCCAAAATGAGACAGTCTCTATATTATTCAAGAAGTGTATTTTGATGGTATTTATAAGTTAGTTGACGATGATAACTTAAAGATTTGTCCGATTAATTAATGGAATGTCCTTTAAGCTTATATTGAAACTATTCTCATTTTTCTAGGTGTTCTACTTTTTATTCGTTTCGTTGTGGATTGTTTTGTGTGCTTAGTTTATACATTGTAAATTAATGTATATTAAGAAGCGACACTTTAATATTCATATATAGCATATTCAGAAGGAAGTGATTTTTTTAAAAAGAAAATTATATGTTACACACGACTCAATTTTTACCTTTTATGTAAATCACTATTAATGCCAGTGAATTTTAGAAATTAAATATTTTCTTAAATAACTATTGAATATAAAAAGAAAAATTATTATCATGTCAAAAGGTAATTATGAATTGTGGATGGCAAAAGAATTTTTTTTTTTAAATAAAATAAAATTGATAAGAGATGAGGCTAATAAAATAATGACATGATAGAATGTTTAAAATTAAGAAGCAACTTCTATCCATGAAATTGGCTGACAAAGTGACAAGTCAATGAAATAAAGAAATATCATAAAAAGAAATTATATAATAATTTAATTAAAAATGTAATAAAATAATATGTCAACGTGGTTTTGAAAAGAAAAACTTAGCAATGTTTTTTTTTTTTTTTTTTTTTTTTTTTTTTTTGAAAATAAAGTATTAAAAAAAAAAAGGTAGAACAAAACTTCTTCGAAGTTGTATACTTAGCTTGTATGGTGGGGCGAAATATTAACCACGTGCAACGTGCTGCCCAAGTAACCCACAACTTATAATTAAAACCCTAAAAACAGAAACAATGAATGGAATAAATTATTTTCCTTATATTCCAACACATTCAAACCAGTAAATTCTTTTTACCCTAACCCATTCCTACAAGTGCAATATTTTAATATTAAATATGTAAAATGTTAATACTAAATGTACAAATCTAAAAAAATTTGAGAATTGCATATTTTCACCTTAATTCCAACTATCGCTTGATGAGTATGCTTTTGATTCTAATCATTTATGCACACATGTTTAACTCATTAGTTCAATAAATAATATTTACGATAATAACGTAACAGTTGATTTATTAAATGCTAAAAATGCATGTCATGGCAAATGAATCCGGTAATAGAGCACTGTTCATTTAAACATATAGATATACAAGTGACGCTCGCATGAACAATTTAATTGTTTCTTAAATAATAAGATTAAATAATTATGTGCAAGATATCTAAGACAAATACTTCTAGATAGCAGAAAATAGTATATGAACGCGTGATGTGACCAAGTAGCAAGTACCGACTTGTGGTTTTGTATTTAATTTCCTAGAAACATCGTGGCATGCCAATTACGCCGTCGTCCCCAGCGGGAAACCTGTTAACTTTCCTCGATCGGCAGTTGCCGTCTCTTCCTTTTCTTTCTCTCTCTCTCTCACTCTCACCCTATATATGTCCCTTCAAACTCTCGAAAATATAATGGTAACAAAACCTGTTACTGTAAAATCCCAGGGTGTGTTTGGTTGATGGAATTTGTCCATAGAAATGGGTATGAAAGTGATTGTTATTGTTTGGTTGATAGGTTTTTAGAACACTACTATGAGTTTCGAATATCCCATCAATTGAAAAACTTATACCCAAATAAAATAAGAGTTTCATTCCCTTGTTCATTCTCAAGCACTACTATTAGTAATCATTCTCATTCCACCATACTACCAAACATGTTAAATACTTTTACCAAAATCATTACTATTACCAAGTATTTGATACTCATTCCTATTCCGATTCCCATGTGCGAACCAAACACACCCCAGTTTCAATCCCAAATCAAGATTTAATTCCTTTCTTTGAATACCAAAATGTTCAATCTTGAAGCATTTTAATTTGACAAAAATTTGTGTCCTTATTGTGAGATAGTCTCATGAATCTTTGTGTGTAAGACGAATCAGGTTATAGATAACTGAGTGTGTGTAAGTATAACTAAGTATTACGGAGTACAATATTTATCATTAGTAACAATCAATTTTACACTAAAAAGTATCACAATTTTACATGTAAGTATTACAATCTACTAATCTGATCTACATTTACTATATCTAATAAGAGGTCCGGGAACTATAAAATGTTGTTATAGTTGAAATGAATGATTCATATTATTTTAATTTTAATATGTTTTTTTATTTTTTTATTTTATCCTTTGTTATATTATTTACTTTTTGTCCGTGTAAACTTCAGTAACGAAATATTTCATTAGCTATTTTTATTCTTAATTTACTCATTGATTCCATAAGGAAGGTCTTAGATTCAAACCACATCTCAGAGTTGACATAATTGTTGAACATATACTATGAATTGAAAATGTTAATAGAAAGTATTAAAAATTACAATATAAAATTTAAAATGAGCTTTGATCATTTTGTCTTTTCTTCTTTTGATTATTTAGAATCGTACTCTTAACCTTCAATTAATGATGGAAGAGTCCCTTCCACCCAACCACACCCTCCAAGTTACTTTACAAATATTATAGTATTATTATATTATTATCTAACAAAATTGTTCTTACATCTTAGAGTTCCATAATATATATATATATATATATGAGTAATGCTACACACCCCTCCTACTTTTCCCATGACACTTTTCATTTGATAAATTAGTCTTTAATAATAAATTAGTGGGATTCCAATTCATGAGATCCCATTGTTATAAGCCATGTTAGGATGGATTTCCGGGGGTGGGGTGGGGGAAGAGAGAGAGAGAGAATTTTTAGGGGAACAAAGCATATAAAAAATGTGGACTAATTTGATTCATCCATCTAGGATGATCAATGCTGCTTAAAAAATGACGGGGTCAATTTTACAAGTATTAGTGTAAGAGAATCAACTTAGAGATTTCATGCATTTATTTTTAATGTAACAAAACTAATTAATTAGACCAAACCTGTTCTTTTCGCAAACTAGCATCAGTCACCCAATTGCACATGAGACACTGCACTACCGACCAAAAAGAAGCGGACAAGCAATGAAAACGAAGATAATGACAGACCTATCCAAAAGCGAATTAACAAAACGTAGAGTAATTCCAACCAAAAGTAGTATCTACTATCTAATACCTTACAAACTACAATAAGTATTTAGATAAATTTTTTTTTTTTTAGAAAAGTGCAAATTAAACATTAATTTTAATGCCAACTATAATAAATTTTTCCTATATAATCTTGCATTCATATACTTTGAATTACTTATTTAAATACGAACGTTGGGCATTAAAATTGCACGTGTAAAACTAGTCTCTATCATAAATAATATTTTGTCTTGATTTAATTTGACTAGGGCTACGAACCGAACATAAACGAACAGAGGTTGTTCGTGTTCGTTTGTTAAGAAATTTGGAGTGTTCGGGTGTTCGTGTTCGTTCGTTAAGATTTTTAAAAATTTTGTTCGTGTTTGTTTGTTAAGCGTTCATTAGTGTTCGTTAGCGTTCGCGAACACGTTCACGAACGTGTTTGTTAACGTTAACGTACACATTCGCGAACATGTTTGTTAACGTTCGTGAATACTTAATAAACAAACACATGCACATGTTCATGATCACAATTTGTTCGTGAACAATAAATAATCAACGTTCACGAAAATAATCAAACAAACAACATAACTACAAAATTAATACAAATAAGTTAAATAAATGGATAAGTCCGCTCGTAACATCTAATATCAAAATAAAAATCCAAGTCTTAGACACATAATTTGTCTGTTCATATTACAAGCCAAAACATTTAAACATAAAGCATGCGATATTTAAATTCTGCATCCATCATCCCAAAATTTTAATACCTTAACTCCAAGTTCATTCCAGTGATATCGTCTTTACATCTTCAGTAAACTACATTAAATGATATATATTATTATATTACATATTAAATGTGTGCCAGCTTATAGGATAACATAATACAAATTAATGAAGTATGAGTGAATGACTGCTGAAGATGGTAAACCCTAATAAGAGTATGAGACCATTAAATTACCTTATTACCCATGTATAATTTATATATGTGTGTGTGAACATGTTCGCGAACATTATTAAACGAACTTGTTTGCGAACACTAAACGAGCTTGTTTGCGAACACTAAATGAGCTTGTTCGCGAACACTAAATGAGCTTGTTCGCGAACATTATTAACAAACACAAACGAGCTTGTTCACGATCTCTTAGCAAATGAGTTTACAACTGTTCAGATTCTGTTCGTTTATTAACCGAGCTTTAAATTTTGTTTGTTAATGTTCATTTACCTTAATAAACGAACATAACGAATGCTTACCGAACACGAACACGAGTAGTTTGCCGAAAGCTCTATTCGCTAATACTCCTAAATTTGACATGTTATTCAGCCCCCATTTTTATTAAGTTTGAATGATGTTGGGATATAAATTGCTTTGGAATAAGGTTCAAATTGGCCACTGAACGTAACCTGAAAATGCAATTAGGCCACTGAACGAAAAAAAAAAGTGCAATTAGGTCACTGAACACTCCAAATGTATGCAATTTCACCTGATAGCAGGTTACCATCAATTTTAGCAGGTTACCTGCTTACGTGGCAGTTGAGTTGGCATTTTTAATAATTTTTAAATAATTTTAATAATAATTTTTTTTTTTTAAAAAAAAGTAATAAAATAAAATAAAATAAAACGACGGGTGGCTGCCGTTTATTTTTATTTTTATTTTTATTTTTTTTCAACTTTTTTTCAAGGTAATTATTAAAATTTATTAAAAATTATTTAAAAATTATTAAAAATGTCAACTTAGCTGCCACGTAAGCCGGTAACCTGCTAAAATTGATGGTAACCTGCTATCCGGTGAAATTACATACATTTGAAGTGTTCAGTGGCCTAATTGCTCTTTTTGGAGTGTTCAGTGGTCTAATTGCACTTTTTTTTTCGTTCAGTGGCCTAATTGCATTTTCAGGTTACGTTCAGTGGCCAATTTGAACCTTATTCCAATTGCTTTTAATGGAATGATTTTTTGGTGGTAGAAAAGGAATAAAGGGCAAGCTAGCTAGCATGAGAGCGTTGAATGGAAAGAATAGCAATAGCATATATTTTGAGGTGAAAAAGTAGGAATTGACCAACTCAGGACGATTCCTTGTACTAGTATATAACGAGTTAATCAGGAAATTAGTGCGTATATATCTTCGCATGCATTTCTGAGCCCATTGACCAACATATATACTTATACTACACCCCAAATTAAAGCTGCTATCAACATACTACGACAAATATAATATTTGCACAACGTAAGGCACTCAGAAAAATCACAAGATCGCATGATGTGACCAACTGCCGATTTCTGGTTTTGTTTTGTTTTTTGTTTTTTTTTTTTTTTATTTTATTTTTATTTTTTATTATTCCTATACGTAGGAAACATCGCATGATGATCCAGATGTTTCCTTGGCACTTGCCTTCTGATGATCTCTTCCTTATTTTCTCTCTCCCTCTCTCTATATATACCCCCCTCAAAACCGTTGCTATGAAATCACAACAGTTAGTTGTACCGTTAGTTGTTTGAATCCCAAACCATTTCTTTCAATACCAAAATGTCCAATAATCTTGAAGCATTTTTGCACAGCATTATTGTTGCTAGTAGTTCAGATGCTGAGCTGGTATCCAATACTGTACTGCCACAGTAAGTCAACTCTTAAAGTCTTTGTCTTTTTCATTTAATTCCCAACAAAAAAAAAAATACAAATTAAAATCCTCATGCAAGCTAAGGTGGAGATTCAATCAATGATTGATGTGGGTATTGCTAATCTTTTTTTTTTTTTTGGTTGCTCAGAAGTCAGATCAGAACTCCATCATATCCCTTCTTTCTTGGTTAAGTTTGCAGCATTTCTTTTGTAAATAAATTCGTGTTTTTTTTTTCTTTACTTATGTGCGTAATAGCAGATTGAGGGATCTGATAAAGGCAGTAGTCACTGAGACATTTGACCAAGAATTGAAGCCCGTGATTGAGGATTTGTTTCGTACAATTGTAAGTAATTTTTATGTCCTCCCTTTAATCCTAGCTAGCTAGCTATATTTATGTGCATCCATGATTTTATGTCTAATATACCACTTACATATTTGCATATGGAAAGAGAGCTTATCATTTTCACTTGGATTGTATTTTCTGCTCCAAGATTACTCTACTGTTTTTTTTTTCCTGGTTGATACTTATCATGGATGGCAATGGGGCGGGGGTACATTCCCCGTCGCCATCGCGACAGAAAATTGAAAATAGTCCTCATCCCCATTCCCTATTTTTACAATTAACTCTTAGTCAAAAATCTGAAATTAGTGTAATTTTTAATTTTAAAAACTAAACCATATATATATATATATATATATATATATATATATATATATATTGTATAATTATTCGCGTTCTCTAAAAATTTCTCCATCTCTGTTTCCGAGAATTTCTCCATCCCCGTCTTCGTCGGGATGAGGATCGGAGACGGAACAAATTGTCATCTCTATGTGGTTGAGAATAGCTTAACGATCTATATAAAGTGTGATTAATGCTCTGGCCTATAAGCCTATAATCATCCACACTTTAAAAGATTGGATTGGTGTGCAGAAAGACTTGTGTTACCATCATGTGAACCTTTTGGTGCTAAATTATGGGGTTTAGCCTAGTGGTAAACTAGCATATATGTAGGATTAACCTAAGGGTGTGTTTGGTTCCTCACGAGAATTAGAATTAGAATGGGTATTAAATATTTGGTAATATAATGGTCGTAATGGGTTTTAGTGAAAATATTTTACATGTTCAGTAGTAGGGTGAAATGGGAATGATTATCAATAATGATGTTTGGTTATGTATGATTCAATAATGGGATTAAAGATTTTAAAAATACAAGAACACAAAATCAAGACAATTGATTCTAATATAAAGACATCCAAAACACCAATATGAACAAAAAATAAAAATAAAAAATAAAAAAACACTAATCAAAGGGGATGAGAAGGAATAAAAGAATGAAAGAGGATGATACTCGCCCTTATTTTATATAGGTATGAGTTTTTCAATTCAGTGGATATTTGAAATCCATAGTAGTGTTTTAAAACATATCAACTAAATAATACCAATCACTTTGATACTCATTCCATAGAGCTAAACTTGTCAACCAAACACACCCTTAGTACTATCACCTTTTGGTTTTTGTACAAGAAGTTTAACAAAATATATATAAAGTTTGATCTGGCCTAGAAGCCTATATATAATCATCTTCCCCTTGAAAGATTGGATTATATTGGCGTGTGTAGAAACTAGAAAGGCTTCCAATCTAGTGGTACCAGCCATCACCTTTTGGTGCTAAATTTTGGGGTTCATCCATTTCGCTTGGATTCAAATCCTCTTTCATTCCCCTTTGATGTACAAGAAATCCAAAAAAAAAAAAAAAAAAAAAGCATGGACCGGCAGGGCATCACGATGTACATAACCCTATTCCTGTCAGTATCAAAAGGCCCCTTTTGGGCTTTACTTCTTAGATTTGTCGAGGAATTAGACATGTTTTTTTAGTCCTTATTACCTATCTAGGAAACATCTAACTTAACTTCTCTGGGATGCAGGTAAGATATGTTCTGTTTGTTCACACAATTAATTGTGACCGTCAGATTCCAAACCTTTAATTTCTTGAATCTGAATCCTGGTTGATTATATTCAGTAATTGTTGTGTCATATATAGCTAGCTGGGTTCTAGAAAATATTAATTAGCATCTATCTTTGTGACTTAATTGAGAGGTAATGAAATTTGCATTCATGTCATGTTTAATCAATATGGTGTTGAACTGTTGGGCGCCAGCCGGGTTGGCCGAGTTCAGTACCTGTTTGATTTAAAACGTGGCTCTGTGACTTATCATGGAGGGATGTGGTTAAATGGTTAATGTCACATGATGGGCATAGTGACAACCAATTAGTTTGTGGTTAAGTAGGATATGACAACCAGATAGACAACAAAACCAATTAGTTTGTGGTTAATGTCGCCAATTAGTTTTAAGTAGGATATGACAACCAGATAGATAAAAAAACTTTGTGGTTAAGAGTGGTTAACTTATAGCTGTCACATGATGGGCATAGTGTAGCGCTGAGATCCATCAAGAACTTTATTGCTCTTCAATTTATCTTAGAGAAATGCTAGCTGCAATACAAATTCTTGTCTTGTTGTGTCCTAAGTATCTTAGTCCTCATAATATGCCAAAAGCTGTACAGTACAGATGGATTATTTTAACTGTCCAATTAGATAATTATGGCAATGATTCTTTATACTATGTTTAACTGTCCAATTAGATAATCATGGCAATGATTCTTTATACTATGTGTAAATTTACTTCAAATACCTTCTCTTCAACATGTTTTCCTAGGTACAAGAGGTACTTGAAAGCAAGCTGTCAGTTGTTCAGAGGTGAGAAATTTACTCTACAATTCTTAATCCATTTAGAAGTGTTTGGTTTAAAGGGTGAACCTCCCTCCCCTCTCAGGAACCCGGAGGATGAGATCCTCGCTTCAAACCCGAGAGCCTTGAAGCTGAAGTTTATAGAAAAGGCGGTCGTTTCTCCAGTTTATACCGGAGTGGAAATCAAAGGAGAAGGCGGTTGTCCTCTTCGGGTGGCTTTGTTTGATGATATCACTGGAAATATTGTGGTCTCTGGACCTAATGCCTCTCTAGAAGTCGAAATTGTTGTGCTCAAGTTCGACTTTGGTGCTGGTGGAAATGATTCTTGGACAGGTCAAGAATTCATTGACAGCATTGTGAGAGAAAGGGAAACAAGAAGGAATTCCAGGAGACCAAACTCTCTTCTTACCGAACGTGTTCTTGTGAAACTAGACAAAGGTGTTGGCAATGTGCACAATGTTAAATTCAGACACACTTCGAGTCATATGAAGAACACTCAGTACCGCCTCGGGGCACATGTTACTCATGAAGACCTTTCTCGTGGTACTCGAATCCAAGAAGCAATCACACACCCCTTTCTTGTCAAGGATAAGCACATCCTCCGTAAGTAGAAGATTCTATCACTTTTGTTTAGTGAAATTGAATCCTCGAACTCTAAACTTCATGTGCAGGTAACTTGAAGCACGATACGCCATCACTATCTGATGATGTGTGGCGGTTAGTGCACGTTGGCAAACACACGTATCACCGTCTACAAGAGAAAAGAGTTTTCACAGTGGAAGATTTCCTGATTCTACACCTCAGAGATCCTATGCTTCTTAAAAAAGTATATATATCTTGTTTACTCTTTAATTTCCTCGAGTTCATACTTGTTGAGCATATAGCCATTAATGTGCAATTCAACTATCAGCTTATGCTTTTAGTTGATATGGAGCACATGTTTCAATTAAATTATACTGGCCTTTGGGCTTTCGTATACAAAAGCTTCATGTTCTTGCCTATTTTCGTGTCCAGACACTTCGTATGAAGCCAAGTAGTTTAGAAGAAACACTGAACAATGCTAAAAGATGCATCAACAACAAGATATACTGTCATACCGATTCCCATCGAGACAGGGGGGTGGTTTTCAACGTTTTTGGTCAGGTTCTTGGACTAATTCGTGGATCACAATATATACCCACTGATGATCTCTCACAAGATGAGATGGTAGGTTAGCGAGTTTAATTTTGTGTTCGATCGCTTCATTATTACTATATCCCTCACTTCTTGGTTCTCAACCACAGGCTAATGCCCCGGAATTGTTAGCATCTGCATATGAACATTGGGAGGAGGAGGTAGAGTGTTTCGACGAGCTGACATCACTTGTGCAAAAGTTTCCTCCTAAGCTGCTATCCAGGTCCACAAGTTTGATTAATGGAATGTTTGAAGAGTTGTATGATGAAAACGAAGATGATGGAGCCGGTTCTAGTACTGCAAATGATTTCGGTTCTACAACCTGTCCTCTGAACAAAGATGAACTAATGGCATTGTTTTTCGAAATCGAAAGGCAAGCTAATGAGGCAAGTCGAGCCACGAATGAACCTCGGAATGGTTCTATCGCTAATGGAAAAGTGTTGAAGAAGTGGAAGATATTGGTGAACATAGTGAAATGGCCGGCTAACACAAAGAAGAGGAAGAGGTGTGGCCATATTGGAAGTTCATGTTCAAAAGAAGGCTAGACACTCTTAATTCACTTCAATTCTGATCTGTAAGTGGATAGCTTAGCTGATACCTGATGTCCTGTTACACAAAAAGGTCTGATGAAAACTTTAACTAATGTTTCCTATCTCATATATTTTGTTCAGAAATCCTGAAGATAAATTACAGGGCCACATGAAGTACAAGATTGGAGATTGTTTCTGAATGGGATTTTTTCCATGTAAATAAGAGCCTCAGATTTGGTGAAGATGAATATTGCAGGTTCTTGGTTACAGCCTAACAAGATATTTGGAGGACAAGATCAGAATATGAAGAGAATAATGCACAAGTCTTTGACCACTTTCTCAGATCTGGGTTTCTGCACTTTTAACTTTCATCTTCTACTAATATTTGTATTTTTTTTTTTTTCCTCTCATCTCATTTCCTTTTCATTCTTCTTGGCTCTGGTCTCAAATTTTTTGTAAAGTTTAATTACAATAATTTAATCTAAATTATTGTAATTTATTTGTTATTTTTAAGTAATTAGCATTACCGGTTTGAATTTTTATGTATAATTTATAATATTATTTTCTTGAAAATTGAATTGGCATAGTGGCCATTTTAATTCCTCACCTCTATTAAAATTTAATGTCAATGTAAGGACAAATATGAAGTTATAGAGAAAGAAAATAATATATATTACATTCATATGCAATAAATTGTTACAATTTTAACTACAACAAATTCTATTCAAATGCAATGATTCAATTTGGTTTGACTGAGAAGTCGGACATTGTTGAAAAAAGAAGTCAACTGAAGTCATTTTCACATCTCATCAAAGATTCTTTCCGTGTCATATATTTAGAGGCTTGTCATTGTCTACAATGATCTCGACAATTGGTTTTCAGTCTACTTCAATATTTCTGCTACTCTCTAATGATTTTTGTTTCATGGCTTATGATTCTAATTCCACAATAAAAAACATCAGAATACTCGAATTCAACATGACAAGGGAGTCGATATGGATGCATTTCAATAATTTAAACATGGGAATCCACGCAAGAACAAAATGCACAATATTTAACACTAGAGAAACAATTTTCTTGAGCAGTACTACAAACATTCTTAACATTTGCTACACCAGAGGTCCAAGACATTTATCAATTGTAGTTCAACACAAGAAAAAGGATGAGGATGAAATAATGGTGTTTTTGGATACTCGGATTGAAGTTGGGAGTTGTATTGAAAATTTTAACAGGGTGTTTGGTTGGAGGGATTTTAAATTCTCTTCCTACTTAATTCCCACCTAATTCCAAAGGCCATTAAATTCCGTAGTTTGGTTGGAGGGAATTGCAATTCCATGGAATTGCAATTCCTCCATTTTCATGAAATTAAAATCCCATGTCCCCCCTAGGATTTTAATTCCTGGGAAAAAAAGATACTGATGAGTCAAAATTACACATTCCTTTTTTAACCTAAAATTAATGTCTAACAATAATAATGGACATTTTTGACTTTATACTACTTATTCCCTTTCAATTCCCATGTATACCAAACATTGGAATTGAAATTCCCAGTAATTCTATTCCTGTCAACCAAACACTGGAATTTAAATTCCCACTTTATTCCCAGTAATTCAACTCCTATGGAATTACAATTTCTTTCCCACATAATTCCCCCCCCCCCCTCCAACCAAACGCCCAGTAAAGGTAAGAGAATCTGGGAAATGGAGATGAAAGTAGTGGAAGGTGGGTGAATCCCTGGATACCATTTTGATTAATGACAATAGAGCACCTCGTGCAATCACGGCAATTACTTTTCCAATACTAGAGAATCCCACTTTCTAGTACTATAATATTTTCTTTTGACATTTTTGTGTAGCACAAATACTCATAACAAATTGCATATTCAATTATATATTTATTTGATTTGTGTTTTGGGGAGAAGCAAATAAATTTTAGATTTGTCCTTACATCAACATTAGATTTTTAACATATACTTGAGACCGGCCATTATGTGAACTATCCATGAACTAAATATGATCACTGTTATCATTAGGGCATTCACAATAAAGATTTTGGTGTGATTTTTAAGGAGATTTTGGCTGAAGCGGAAATGATATAAAAATGTTTGAGGTTGTTGCACGAAAGTTGTGTTGTCTCCAAAAGTGGGCCCCACCAAAACAAAAGAGACAGTGATGTTGAATCGCATGAGCATCACTGTAGCGCTCAATCGGGCAGCATCACTGAAGCGCTTAGTCGGGCGCGTTAAACTGCATATATAAACTTTTCAAAATCTATGTCTATTTATTAAGTAGTAGTATACTTTCTCACCCTGTTGAAACATAAAGAGTCAACACCGCCTCTACTGAGACTCGATCTCAGTTACTACATGTCATCTTAGCCCAAGCTTAGTTTATCATTATGACACAATAGGAGTAAAAATGCCGGTTTCCCTTTTAATTATTACAAATCAAGGCCGGGGCATCCTTGTCATTTTATTGGACGACCAGGGACATTGGTTGGAAATTTGGACTTAGAGAGTTGGAGGTAAAGTAGAATTTTTCTTTTCTGCTCTATGGCGATATGTATGTCCCAGCCTCGCCATCTTCAATCTTTAAGCAGAACTGAGGAACCTGAATCTCATGACTCGATAATGACGACAAATTGACCCGCAATACAAAGCCCGATTTCACCAGGTAATCCGTTGCTCTTTATTAAAACCAAAAACCCCTAAAACCCTAGTCATTTCACTTTGGATCTCATCGAATCCGAATACCCAGAAAGATAGAGTATTTTTTCAATGCATACATTACATTGTTCGAATCCTTACTTGTTCTTTCGGGGTTTCCGTTTGATGAGTATTTCTATGCCGGAAACCGCGAGTCTTGGATATAATTGGAGAGTACTGAGATAGAGGGTATGCCCCATTTTCCCAAACTATCAATTCATGTACTCTGCACCTCTTTTGGTCAAAGGGTTCTCCACGGCTTTTGTTGTTTTAGCAGTTTTTCAATTGGTGATAGTTTAGTTAATGGGCTTGGAAGCATAGAGTACCATTTGAATGAAAGTTGGAAAAGTCCGAATTTTGATCACAGTTTTGAGGAGAAGCTAAATTCAGATGTGTCACCTGGTTCCATGGGTGTTAATGGATTTTCTGAAGGCCATTCCCATCAAAACTTTTCCACAAGGAAAAATTTTGTTGGCAATTTTAGAACTGAGGCTCAGATGATTCTTGGAATTCTTCATAGAGGTGATCCCCAGTTTGATGCAAAAGCAGCTTTAGATGATTTGCATGTTAGGCTTACTGGCCTTCTAGTGAGGGAAGTTCTCTTAGGGATATTGAAAACGGCAAATTATGCAGATAAGAAAAGTTGTGCCCAGATGGGGTACATGTTCTTTGAATGGTCTGGTAAGCAGGAAAACTATATGCACACTGCAAATTCATACCATTTAATGATGAGAATTTTTTCTGAGGCAGGGGAATTCAAGGCCGTGTGGGCACTAGTAGATGAGATGATCGAGAAAGGTTACCCAACAACTGCTCGTACCTTCAACATATTGATATGTACTTGTGGTGATGCGGGATTAGCTAGAAAAGTAGTGCAAAGGTTTATTAAGACAAAGACGTTTAACTATAGGCCATTCAAGCATTCATTTAATGCAATTCTACATACTCTTTTGGCTGTAAATAATTACAAGTTGATTGAATGGGTATATCAGCAGATGTTGGTTGAAGGTTATTCCCCAGACGTTTTAACTTATAATGTACTCCTGTGTACGAAGTACAGGCTGGGAAAACTATATCAGTTTCACAGATTACTTGATGAAATGGGAAGAAACGGGTTTTCACCTGATTTTCATACATTCAATCTCCTTCTTCACATTCTTGGGAAAGGGGACAAACCACTAGCAGCTCTTAATCTTTTGAACCACATGAAGGAAGTCGGATGTGATCCTAGCGCTCTCCACTTTACAACTCTGATTGATGGGCTCAGTCGAGCTGGCAACTTGGATGCATGCAAATACTTTTTCGACGAGATGATAAAGCAAGGCTGCTTTCCCGATGTTGTCTGTTACACCGTGATGATAACGGGTTATGTTGTGGCTGGGAATTTCGATAAAGCTGAAGAGCTTTTTGCCGAGATGATAAGCAAGGGGCAGCTACCAAATGCGTTTACCTACAACTCCATGATTCGCGGGCTTTGCATGACAGGGAAATTCAAGGATGCTTGCCTTATGTTGAAAGAAATGGAGTCGAGGGGATGTAATCCGAATTTTCATGTGTATAGTACTCTAGTGAGTTGCTTGCGGAATGCTGGAAAGCTTTCAGAAGCCCATCAAGTAATAAGACAGATGGTGGATAAGGGGCGCTATATCCATCTTGTATCAAAGATAAAAAGATGTAGAAGACGATGATAAATTTTTCTCTTTAGCGTTAGGTGATTCAGTTGTAACATTTAGTTGAAGAATTGCAGATCAATCCGGCATATTTGATACATTCACCAGCTGCTATAGGGCAGTGTATGCTCAATGACACACAATTTTGATCATGCTCTCTAATAATTTCTATAATTTGTGAATTTTTCGTCGATGTGGCAAACCTGATAGATGTGCTAGACAAATATAAAGAAATGCAATGCTTCATCTGAGCAGATACATATTAAATTTCAATGTAGTTTGAAGTGTTCATCCTATCTGTATCTGTTTGGCTCTGTTTCTAGTTCAATTTCTTTGTGTCTTGGATTTTCTTGAAACCATGCTCTATTTTTTTTTTTTTTTTTTGGTCTCTAATGAAGAAGGGCTGTTTACTGTGTAGTAGTTTTGCCCTATACACTGATCTGAGTCATATTTGATTAAAGTAAGATTAATGTATTATTTGGAAGTCTTAACTCTTGAGTGCAGAGTTTGTTCACATTCTTGCAAACCAGTAAATGAGTAAATGACTGATAGTTCATGATAGCTTGAGCATTCATTAACTAGGTTCAACAAAACCATTTCTCCTGCATTAACATCTCATAGTATGGTCATTTGCCCTTTTTTTTTTTGGGTGACGAGAGAAAATGTTCTGCAACCACTATTCAAGGGTGTACACTGAGTAAACTACGTTTAAGTTCAAGAAAACCATTTCTTTTGCATTAACATCTCATAGTATGGAAACCTTGGGAATACCCAAAAAAACATCTCATAGTATGGTCATTTGCCTTTTTTCTTATTTGGGCGACGAGGGAAACTGCTTTGTAACCACTACTCAAGGGTGTGCACTGAGTAAACTACGTGCCTGCAAACCACATAGGAAAGAAAACTGCGTGACAAACTTGACCGAGACGGTGTTGACACGAGAATCATGTTCCACCTACTCGACCACTCCTTTCAGGCATCATTTATCCATTTTGGAGTAAAAAAAACCTTAGAATAAGTGCATAGTAGTTAATTTAAAGCACAACCTCATAATCCACACATACATCACCTCTAAAACCAGAACATCTCAAGTACAAACACTGCAACATTCTAACACAGACAGCAACACACACAACTTTCTCAAATTCAATCACACCATGATTGGGCTAGTGTTCCTATTGATCTGAGACAACAAGTATAATATAGTTTAAGGACACTTGGGCCTGTTGCCATGGGTGGTCATCTCAGTGTAGCACTTGCCACACATCTCCCTGTTGCCAGAAGTGCCAGGGGGAACACACTTGCACCTGGCACAACAAGTCCCACAAGCCCTCAAGCACACATTTTTCCTGGAGTGAAGGCTGCATCTATGGCTACATAACCCTCCACAGTCCAAGGGAACTGGGTGTACTGGAGCTGGGGCTGCTGCTGGGGCCATTATATTTGCCTCCAGGTACTGCCCTTCATTCAGATAGCTTGACAGCCTTAGCACTGCATGCACATTTTCAATTCAATATTAGCCTCTTTTGCAGGGGGGACAAAACAATAAATGTAAAAATGGGGGTTGCAACTTTCACAAGAGAACCGTCAATTTAAAACTATATGTTTATTGTTATAGCACCGTCAATCCATTAATAAATACTTGTCATCATGGAAGTGTCAAAAAAAGTTGGATATAAGAGATGTCAATCTTATATTGTTGATCAGGATTCATTATGTCTATGAGGATCTTGTTAACTGTAAATCTCTCTCTCTCTCACACACACATACATATATTCTAGGATAAATAGTCATAAAAAGACAAACCTATATCTTCCATGAGTCTTCTATTATCTCTGGTGAAAGCCTGAAATATAGTGTACATAATTATATTTTGTCACTATCATTTGTGGTCCAAAAAAACAACAAAATTCACCCGGAAATTTAAAGAATAAACCAAGAAAAGAAAACAATATTAATCCAAACAAATAACATAAAATAAAATCGAAGAACAAAACAAGAATGTGGAAACACACGTGAAATGCCTGGCTGAGGCTTGTATGCTCTGTTCCTTCAATTTTGGGATCAGATGAAACCTGCATTGCATGCGCGTAACTTTATTCAAATTAAATGTCCACAAAAAAGAGAGTAAACATAAAACATATTCCGACCGCGTACAATTATTGCGAGCCTAAGGTTGCCAAACAATGAATTTATTGTGAGTGTGCATGAATAATGTTTTTGATATTAATGAACATTATTGAATACAATTTTACTGCATATTGTCAAACAATGTAATTTGTTTCAAAATATACTAGGAGTATATTTGCCAATGACCTTGTGGTCTAGTGACATGAAGTGATTCTCGCAAATGGGAAGTCATTGGTTTGATCTCCAATGGAGGCGATATTGACTCTTATACTACATTGTAACAGAGTCAATAGTACTCAAATTATATGAATCAACGTTAGGAATAAATTATTTCTAACAATTTCCCACTTGATTCATATATGCGCGACTTTACAATTTTCAATACTTAATATGAAAATGTAAAAGTCATAACCTTATCGAACTTTATTAACCAAATCATGGCGGTTACAGGCCTGACATAGCGTCCCGCTCCCTTCCATGTATCATAGTTAATAAGAATTCGAACCATAATAATAAGGTAAAATCCGAAAGTACCTTATTCCTTATGTCTTAAACAAGACCATTGTTATCACTTCTGAACTATGCATAAATAAGTGATCAACATCAACCATAACAAAATCAAAACCTGAATAGATATCTAAGAGTATCATCAACCTGATGTGCCTAATGGCGGACAAACAATTTGGTGCAATAGTTATGGCTTTTCAATTTTACCCTCAATATTAACAATTCACACAAAGAAAAACTAATGGCGGACAAACAATTTGGTGCAATAGTTATGGCTTTTCAATTTTACCCTCAATATTAACAATTCACACAAAGAAAAACTAATGGCGGACAAACAATTGGTGCAATAATTATGGCTTTTCAATTTTACCCTCACATTAACGATTCACACAAAGAAAAACTAATGACGGACAAACAATTGGTGCAATAGTTATAACTTTTCAATTTTGTCCTTAATATTAACGATTCACAAAGAGAAAAATTAATGACATATTACAATTATAAATGATTTAATATTTAATAATTAAATTTGATAACTTTAAAAATCAATGACTAAAATCAAAATTAAGTGATAATCAAATGACTAAATCTAAAATTAACTCATTTATACTTAGGATGCACAATGAATTTTGTGCACATGTGAATTAACATCCCCTTTCATTAGTATCTATAGTAATATTTTCACTTTTAATCTTTCAAATATTTTACATTTATCAAATTTAGTCTAAAATGTCTTAAATATTTCTATGAGAAAGCTAGTAAGATATGATAAAAGTAATAATATTTCAATATTTTTTTTACTAAATTTAATAATTCTAAAAAAAATTGAAAAATAGAAAAAAATAGTTAAACTAATGGTTAACAAGTAAAAGTAAAAATGTTACAATATTTGAATGATAAAAGGTAGAATTTATCATATATATATATATATATATATATATATATATATATATATATATATATATATATATATATCAAAGGCTGATTATGTTTCTTGTGTAAACTTGCAAATTTGCACTTTTTGAGTTATCTCTAGATTTTTTTTTAAAATTTATTTATTTGAATTTTGTTGTCCACTTTTAGCGAGAAACTTTAAAAGCGTACAATTGGAATAAACAATTGAATTTTAAAAACTATAAATGTGAATTACAACAAAATTCTAAAGTGTAAATTTGTGCGAACAGGAAAGCATAATTTGTATATGATCTCATCTCTCTATATATACACACGTATTATGCAAGCATTATAAATACACATCACACGAAAACAAACACACACATAATATATATAGGGTAAAGTTCTCGTATGGACAGTGCTTCTTGTGCAGCCTTGCGATCACTCACCATTAAGCATACATAGATGCACCAAAAAATATTCGAAAATACACCATTATGTGTGGTGAGGTGTGGTGCATTTTTTGTGTGTGTGATGCGTTTTGTGGTGCATTTCCGAACACTGTGTGGTGCATTTATGCCTGATAGGTGAGTTCGCACTGGCCGCCCGGGAAGCACTATCTACATTTGAACATTGAACCCGTATATATATATATATATATATATATATATATATATATGAATGAGTTGATCATACCTCATAAGCAACCAGACAGAGAAGGAAGAAGATGAGAGGTAGGAAGATGGTGAGACGCAAGGCCATGAGTGAGCTGAGTAGTATAAGCTGCAGCTTTGATCTGTCTAAGGGCTTCTGATATGCAGTGTTGAGGCTTGGTTTCTCCCTTTTTTTATAGAGGAATTTAGATATTTGTAGTAACTCTTGGATTCGATCACCAAAATGCCCTAAAGAGTTGCATCCTCCCACTGTTCACACATTACAGCTGTTTCTTGTTCAAGTGGTACCCCTCTAAGTTTTTTTGTTTGTTTTTTTTTTTTGCTTGCTATAAATATATATCTCTATAATTTTATAACAATAAAAAATACAGTATCGGCGTATCTTATTCATAAAAGACAAAATCTCTGGCCTTGAGAATCCCTACATTCCAACTTGACTGGATTTCTGAAAAAACACCATATTTATTATTATATTAGTTTTAAACATACGCAATACAAGAAAAAAAAAAATTCAATAAATAAAAAATAAGTGTGAAATTATATAATTAATACCTGGATATCAAGTTAACACCATATTGGTAATATTATAGTGTAAAATTCATGAATATCAAGTTAACACCATATTTAAGCACCAATACATTTTATTCCTGTTGTACCCTTACTATCATTAACTTTTATTATATTTTATTAATTTAATAAAATAAGAAATAAGAAATTAAAGACATGCATTATTTTTATGTAAATAACTAAAATTCTATTTAAAAAATTGTCACTATTATTATTTATTATTCTTTTTTATAATTTTAGACAAGACACATTTTCAACATGGTAGAATTTTTCAAAATATCTATAGAATGGATGTAACTATTATTTGTTTAAATTATTTAAATTCAGAATAAGTTATTAATTACATATTTACACTACTGGAAATTATAGAATTTCCGACCACCTGAAAGTGATCTTGAATCAAATTGATACCAAAAAGTGGTCGGAAATAGCAACAAAGGTTTTTCCGGATACCAAAAGTGGTCGGAACAAGGCTTTCGACTTGATTTAAGATCATTTTCAGGTGGTCAGAAATTTCATAATTTTCAGTAGTGTTACATTATAAAGGAAGTTGTACAATACCTTTTACTATGTCTTTTTTACATAAAAGGGAAATAAAATGGACATTTTTGTAACATTTTTGTGTGACAAGAAAAAATTGTAGTCATTATCCAAGAGTATGCACTGAGTAAACTCTGTTCTTATGTAATAACTCGCAAACTGCACAAGTAAATCACACTAGGAAAATCATGTGTGAGTTATTATTATTATTATTATTATTATTATTATTATTATTATTTTTGGAGAAGATCATTGAATTAAAATGCATGGTTGAGTTTTCTTACATTACAAAAATTATTAATTATTATTTGTATGGGTGTGTGTATATGTATTTACAAATTTCGTCCTTACTTTTACCTTAAAAAGGTTGTTTAATACGACATTGATATTTAATGAAATTTGGACATTATTGGACACTTATGATATGGACTTCTAAGTTCTAACCAGTAAAAGGGTGTTCTGTGCTTATGCTTCATACTAACTCTATTATCACCTAAAAGAGAAAAGGTTTAAACTTGTCATTAATATTTGTTGATTTTTGAATTAGTAATGTTGGGATCTAAAAAGAACCTACGAGTTTTCATGAGAAAGTTATAGTTTTTTTTAATAAGTATTACACTTTCTCTCATAAGTATTACAATTTTCATTGTAAATAACTTTTCAATTTCTAATACGGAGTATTAAATTTTAATTTAAAAGTACTAATTTTTCTTTTACACTTTCATTTATAAGTAACAACCAATTTTTTTTTTAATCAGTATTACATTTATAAAGTATTATATAAAGATTGATGGTATCTACGATTATGTATGTACTTATGTTATTACTTTTTTTCTTGCAAATTGTCTATTACAATTTTGCTATAAAATACTACATTGATGATACGGAGTATAAAATATTATATACAAGGCTTACAAGTATTGATTATATCTGTAATTCTGTTATGAATCATTTTGGATTAGATTCAACCTATCTTACAAATTAATATTCATGAAATAATTTCACAAGAGACCAATTCCTTCTTATAAATTTTAAGATAATTGTATTCTGAGGCTTGATCTTATAACCTCCCGTATGAAAGAATCAGTACATACATGTCATGAGCACAAATAGTCTTAGTCTCTAATCTCTAGTCTCCACAACCAATCAACGTAGGCAAATTATGTTGTGCATCCGTATGCACCCTGCATGGTGCATAAGATGCAAAAACGACGTCGTTTTGCAAAAAATGCGCGCCCTACTTAAAAAAAAAAAAAACAAAACAAAACCGATTCCCAGCAACAACATTATGTTATTCATTTTTAGTTAATTCATTTTGAATTTTTTAATTATGCAATTCTAGGAGTGTAGTTATGCAATTCTGAAAGTGTAGTAAAATTATGGATGTGTAGTTATGCAATTCTGATTTTTTTTTTTTTAAGTTAGATGTCAAAACAACATCATTTTTACATTCGTATACACCATGCATGGTGCATACATATGCACAACATAACGCGTACCAGAAATAATGTGCTGATGCGGTAGGAAACTAAGAAACATTATCGAGTTGGCAAAAGGGTGTTCAATACTGACATGGGCCCATATTGGGCCGGAATTTTGGACCCTATTTTATCTATTTCAATTATTTCAAACGAGTCGCGACAAACCAATAAGGTGAAAGCCCATCAACTTGGTTTGAACTTTGACCACTGGGAGAGGAGATTTATCCTTTTGGCAAATTATTCTGTGAATCCAAGTTGACCTCGGGAGCGAATTCAGGTTCAAATTACACAATTTACATATTCAATATTCACAATTTTGTAAAAAGATAAATTGTGAACATTTAGTATGTAAATTGTAAACATTAAATATTTAAATTGTAAACATTCAATATATAAATTGTATATTTTAGATCCGAATTTACTTTGCAAGGTGGATTTTGGTTTATGGTATAACAACTCTATCCTTTTATCCCAAAAGCCGAGAAACTAAGGGCAACTATATTTGTAGTTTTTTGGGATTTTTTTTTTCAGATTTAAAAACTTGACTTGGATTTTTATGTTAATGGGAAATATGATTTTTCTACTACAAATACAAGTTCTTTGTAAGTTTCAAAAATACGCGCAAAACACACATTTGGTGCACATCCGCGCCTATCCAGACACGTTCATGTATACTTTTTTTAAAAGAAAAAAAAAAAAGTATCGTCAGATTTTGTTTTTATTTTTATTTTCCCTCTTCCCTCTCCTTTCTCTTTCTTAGTTGTACGTGCAAAAAAAAAAAATGAGGTTGCTCTAAGGTTTGAGCTCTATAGTAAGGGTACAATGGTGTTATTTCTTATACTATCACTTTTTTTAAGTTATTTATTTTGGTTGAGGGAACCTTTTGCCAGATCTATACTGAATTAACTTACTAGTTTAAATTATTCATACATAATTGCCACCAGTTCAAATTAAAAACACCGATAAATTACTTTAGTTAAAAGTGTAATTTTGTAGTTATTAAATGGAAAAAATGTCAAATAGACCCTCAAACTTTAGCTTAAAAGTCAATTAGGCCCTTAAACTTTTAAAAGGTGCAATTACACCCCTCAACAATTCATTTAAGTGCAATGAAATCTAAAAATAAATTAATGACCTGCTATCACAGGTCATTAGGGTTCAGGCCATCTTCTGGCGAATTTTCTGGCAAAATAAAAAAGTGACCGGCGAAATTTTCGACAAATCTGAGCGGTTGCTGGTCACTTTTTTTTTTGCCGGAAAATTCGCCGGAAGGTGGCCTGAACTCTAATGACCTGTGATAGCATGTCATTAACTTGTTTTTAGGCTTCATTGCACCTAAATGAATTGTTGATAGATGTAATTGCACCTTCAAAAAGTTTAGGGACCTAATTGACTTTTAAGCTAAAGTTCGATGACCTATTTCACCATTTTCCCGTTATTAAATTAACAAGAGTTAATACCCAAAATAGTCCCTCGACTATGTCGTAATTACTAATTTGGTCCTCGACTATCATTCTTACCCAATTAAGTCCTCAACTATACAATTTTTACCCAATTTAGTCCTTTGTCAATTTGACTGTTTGTTGACTGTCAAAAGTGGAAATAAAGTTGTAATTTTACAAGTTTTCTCCTTCCTCCTCATTTAGCAGCGCCAAACCATGTAGCAATAAGCTCCGGTTGGGTTCTAAACCTGTCAGTATCGAAGTAGTGGTTATGCATCGGATAACCCATGAATTTGATTTTCAACGATTTTTTGACGATCGAAATCTGATTGGAGTGTATTGCTGCATGGTTTAGCGCTGCTAAATGGAGAGGAAGGAGAAATCTTGTAAAATTATAATTTTATCCCGACTTTTGACAGTCAACAAACAGTCAAATTAATACAGAGGACTAAATTGGGTAAGAATTGTATAGTTGAGGACTAAATTGGGTAAGAATTGTATAGTTGAGGACTTAATTGAGTAAAAGTTACATAGTTGAGGACTTAATTGGATAAGAATGGTAGTTGATGACCAAATTGATAATTATGACATAATTGAGGGACGATTTTGGGTATTAACTCAATTAACAATACAAGTAACTTGAGTATGACTATGTTGCCTTTTTGTATTTTCTTGTTTTAATAAAAGTAGTCATGTCATGAACATTTTATTCCGCGTAAAGGCTGTACCAAATCAGAGTAGGAATGAATTATCCAGGATCCAGCTGTCCTGAACTGGGAAGTGGAAACCAGCTCAAACATATATGGGTTCGTACAAAAACCTCAAATTCATCCATGGACAAATGTACAATGTTGTTTTGAAAACACCCTTTTAACAAAATCCATTGAAAAGTTTAAAGAGTCGTTGTCTTGTTATGTATGTCAAATCATACACAGATATTTACAACTTTTCATATTTGTGAATTAACTAATTTTGCAACAAGTTAATTACTCCGTAAATAAATATAATATCATAAAAATAAATTAAATACAAAAAAAAATATTATTCTATAAAAGTATAAACTATAATATTGTTATAAATATTTTGTGGTGTATAACCATTATCCAAGTTTCTCTATATTTGAATTCATGTACGGTTATACCGAATTGTACATGTATATGAAAGAAGTTATCAATGAAAGGTGATGGTGTTCCTGAGTTCTTCTTGTTCTTCTCTTACTTTCTCTCTATATATTTCTTGAGTATTATTCTAAGCGTATTATTATATAAGGTTTCCATAATTTATAACAAATATATAATTTTAGACGAAAAGTGTAACCGATTTGATACACATTTATGGAGCCTACATTACTTGCATGAAGTTTGTTCATAATATTGGAGCGACAATGCATTGACAAATAATATTACATTAGGGGTTGTTTGATTTACGGAATGTAAGATTAAAATAATATAATATGATACCTTTTGAAAGGTAATTTGAGATTAGAATGAAGATGACCTTATATATTTGGTTTGGATTATTATAAGAATATAATATTACTTTGTTTATTTAAATGTTATATGGATTAATTTATTGTTGGATATTTATATAGTAAGTGCATGTTTGAAAATTTCAAACATGTTTGTTACTAAACTTAAATAATATTTGCGAGTTGTGAAGTTGAAATATTATTTTAAGGTATTTTCGTCCTTTCCAACTTAAATCCTAATTTGAGCATGAATGATTGATCTCAATTCGCAATTCTCCTTCTTATCCTACTTTAATTTGATTAGGAGAACTGCGAATTGGGATCGATCTTCAATTTTAAATATCTTTATTCATGCTTAAATTGAGAGGACGAAAATGTCTTTAATAATTTCATATTTCGACATTTCTTAAACGAAAGGGTGACGGACATAATGAATTTTGACACTAAAACACTAGTCATTGATAAAAATTGGTACTAAAACAATAGTCGTGAATGAAAATTTGTAGAAATTAAACATGGACCAAAACTGTCATTTTGCTAATACTCGTGAGACCAACATTGAAATTTTCTCTAGTAAGAATTAGCACTCATCAAATTGTCAAATATGGAGTAATACTGTAACTAAATTTGAGCTTCTCAATTTTTCAAAAAAAAATAAATTTTTGAGCTTCTCAAGTTCTCAATGGTATAAACTTTTTATACCATTGTTTTCTGTTAGCATACCTGTGAGAATAGAGAGGATTGATTATATCTGCACTTCAAAAATCTTAGCTGATAGCTGTTAGCTGATTGGGTTAATTAGAGAGTATACTAGTTGATAACATTAGCTGATTGTAGAAAGTGTTTAGTAAATTAGTTGTTCTGTTTGCTATATATCTGCACTTCAAAAATCTTTTTTCCTGAACTGAATAAAACAACCTGTGAGGCTAAAATACATATCACCTCAAAAGAATCGGTATATATATATATACAGGCCAGTTTTCATATCAACAACCACAGACCACAGTACCCGGCCATACTGCACGATCGTCTCCTACAGGTTGTTGAATCAACACCGCAATCTTCGTCGGTCAAGCATCTATGGTCACCACGCGTATCGGGGATGTGGCAAGCGCTCTCGAGGTGCTGATACTCCTGTTCATGGCTAAGCGTGGTAGCTGGACAAATCCGCTGTGACATTGCACTAGCCCGCTTTCTGTGTTTTTCGTGCTGCAAAAGGGTAGTAGTGTAGTCGTTGAGCAGAAAAGCAGCAATGGTAGATTAGATCAAGTTTGTTTATTTTGTCGGGATTAGTAACCACACCTTGAATGAAGTCCAGTTGCTTGGTAAATAGGCCTCGGAAAGTCTATCGTGCCAAGTGCTTAAAACTGGGAGAGGATGGCCCTCGGTTGTGAAGATGTAATTTCGATTGACCAAGAATGAATCATCGAAGAGAAGATACAAATACTTGCACCTGCAGAGGATCAAAGAGGAGTTCGAGCAGAAAAGAATTTTGCAGTTAAGCAAATTTGGCTATTATATGAAGAAGAAATCTTACGTTTCAGCGAGGAAGAAACTGTGCTGATGATCTTCTAATTCCATGGTTGTCACATCTCTAACGCTCGCAAATCCACCTTGAACTTTAGTATATTGGTTTAGAGAATTAATGATTAATTCACCCACTTCCATATACCATGGATCTGGTAACAAAGGGAAAATGTAGGTTGAACAGAATAGTTATTATTTTTGAAGGAAGCTGAAAATTGCACGATATTACAAAGGAATAAGGGTCAAATAAGCCATCGAACTACACACGAAACGAAATAGGAACAATGAATAAAAGAGGTAGAAAAGCGGGGGATAGGTGAAGTTTCTTCTTATTCCCTCCCACACTCTTGAAAGGCAAATGATATTTTCATCAAAGAAGGAAGCATACTACGCGGCTAATATCATTAAGGCCTGTGTGCCTAAGTAAAACCGATACGTATATACTCTTTTAAGGTATTAAAATTAAAGCATGTAGGAAATAACCTTCAAAATGAATATGTTGAGAAATCATAACGGGAAACTATTTAAAAGGAGCTGGTGCAGACCTTTGGTTGCTTGGTATAGGTAAAATGTAGATTCCGCAAATTCAGGACGTAGAGGATAGTACTTCTCCGTGGGATGCAACATCTGATGGTCCAGTAGATACCTATACAAATAAAGACATACGTATTTGTTAAGAGTCCACATTAAAAATAAGAGAGAAACATATTGGCTTATAAGGAAATGGGTTAGACCAGCTAATTGATTGGATTCAGTCTTTTAGTGTGGTTTGGTTTGGCCCATGTGCATTATAGCCAGTTGAGTGACTTGGTCCAATCTTAGATTATAAGAGTATTCATCTTATACTTTCCAACACCATAGGAATGACACTAATGATGGCAACCACAAGAACTATTGATTTCATTACAGGTCTAATATGCAGAGTAAACATCACAAGGATATAAAGAAAAACATTTAATCATGTAAGGGGAAACCAAAAAAGAGGTATAAAGTACCTCTCAGGTAGTACTCCGAATTTTTTCCATACATGGAAAAACTCTCGATGTGATGAATTAGCTGCATCAACATCACCAACTAGAACCTGACTTATAGCAATTATCATATTGTTTCCACCGATAGCCATTGTCACATTCAAATGTTAAAACTTTTCTTACCTGCACGCCTGGCCAAAATGCTTGAAGACTTGTAAGTTGCCAATAAGTAGCTTTTCCTGTTCTCATGTCCGCATCATGATACCTACATAACAGTCATGATTCGTGTCAATTTAAAGTTTAATGGTCGTCCGATGACTTCAATGAAAATTTTAGGACCAATCCAAATTCCTAAAAGTCAATAATAAAGGGAAAATGAAACCAGATTGGTTGGCGTGAGTGACTGTGCACTCTCTTCCCTAAAGAGAGGTCGGGAGTTCAGAACCCCCTCTCGTATGGAAAAACCAATATGGCCTGGCCAACACTTTGTCCCTTAATTGGGCCAGCCCGGTGCGAACGGGGATTAGTTGAGTATGGTACGAGCTTAATGATGTCTCCTATAGTTAGGGCCTATTCAGGATACCTCGTGGTCTAACAAAAAATAAAGGGAAAATGAAAGAAATATACTGGGCCTAAGCAATGGGCGAGCTATCATGCAAAATGACGATGAAAGAGTGGCAAGATATCAAGAAAAGTTAATCGAAACATTTCAGTATAGCAGGAACAGCACCATGGTCCATGTCTGAAATATTTCTGCACAGCAAGGTAAGCAGACTGAAACATCTTCCAAAATTCATCTCCCCCAAAGAGAATGTACGCTTTGACAAGATACTCGTAGAAGGAGTCGACACCTAAAAAGTAAAGACGATGCATAATGCTTCAGAAACTTCATGTGCTAGAAGTTACCAAAAGAAAAAATTCTTATCAGTCGGGGCAAATCACAAACAATGACCATAGTCATAGGAGAAAAAGAGTACCAGCCCCAATTCCCGTTGAAAATTCTATCCACTCTCCAGTTGCTACATCCAATGTAGTGCCGAGAAGGTTGAGAGAACTCCGCATGCTCCACAGCTTACGTAGGGCACGCAAAGCAGCTATTTCGAAAATTGGATCCCCAGTTAAACGAGATAATGCTCCCATTTCAAGAATCAGTGAGCCTGAATTTCAACGAAGGGAATCATCAACAATCATAAGATAAAGTCCATTTAGGGTGGCGGAAATTTATTTGAGAACATATGTCAAAATTTGTTTCTTGTTTTTGGCTTAGTAGAAGTGAAATGTAAAGCATTCTCACCACACCCAGATGTGCTCGTTTCAGTTGTCTCGTTCTGCATCACCCCACGCTGTTGACAATTTCCATTGAGACATGTCAATAAATCCATCTTTCAAACAAAATCATTGCAGCATAATTATACAACAATTATTGACAAAAAAAGGTCACTCAGTGAGAACTGTTCCTGAATCATGCACAGCCCGAGAAATGAAAATGCACACAATGTTACGTTTATTATAGTTTGAATCTATGGCATAGAGGTTAACCGTTGAACAGTTTACCACTACACCCAAGCCCAGCCTTCACTACTTGTTAATGTCAACTAAATCTTAATGTATAATTTAGTTCATACTTTAAGACAACAAATTTAAATTTCCCAAAATCTAGTGGTTTGTGTTTTACTTGATAAAAGGCATTAACCAAGTAGTTCTGGTGAGCCATGCATATTGCTTCAAAACCAACAATATCTACTTTCTCAAACATGTGCAATTCCACATCAATTTCACCATTCAACTTCCCTTCACCATTTAGGCTTGTATGATTGACTTCTTGAGCATCACCAATTTACACGTGAAGCTCTATCTTGCTATTCCCGAGATCATGTTAATGAGTATCCACAACTTCTTCCTTTAAAAATACTTATCATATCAATGAAACTCACCTTCATGTCTTCATCAACATTCAATTTTAACTTCATAAATTGAAACCTCAACTAACAACTTCAATACCATTGCTTTAAAGTTTAGCAAAAATGTCACAATTCTATAGGTAAAACAGATTTGTTACATGTTGTATATCTTGGATGGGAGATAAGGAAACTTGACGGTCCCTTAGTTTTACCTCGGTTGAGCCAGATTGACAATTTTGAATTTCATTCAGTATGTGATTGGCCTCCTTATGGAGAGGAGTAAACCTTTCTGTTGCCACTCTTTTCCCACTTTCCTTGCCATAGTGTTCTTCCTTTTAATTCTCATTATCTAGCAATCGCCATTAACACATATCATAAATCTCATGATTGCCAATAACTCAGTTGTGGCAGTTTGAGGATAAATTGCTCATGTGGTGTAAGTGTAACGACTGAAATCTCTGAAAAACTTGTACATATCATCCCTTCCATTGTGATGGGCATCACGATCAAAATGCCAAGGCTTATTAAATACAAGATGGTACAATTCCATGCCCACAATGTGATAAATTAATTTATCGTTATAGTATTTTCTTAATCTAAATAGGAAGTTAACCAGTCCAAGAAACTAAAACTAGGAAGAATCACAAATAACCTAGGAACCAAACTGCTCTATGAAAGTAAAGTATTAGGATACTAATCCATTACTAAGCCTAAAAGGAAAGAACCAACACTATCCCTTATCCTTGTAGGAAAATAGTATAGATTCCTTCTATGATCTTGATATTTTCCGAATTGCTAAATTTTGATTAACAATTGAAAACCTAGGGGTTGGAGCCCATGAATCAAATTTTTGATGCTGATGCAATTTCATGCCATGTGGTCCAAGGTTTAAGGATTAAAAGGGCATTTCTTCCAAAACAACGATGTAGCACTAGCACAATTCTGCATGTCATTCTCATGTTATCTTAAAGCTCTAAAAAGGTGCTATTGGATGGTACACAGGTTACCTTTAAGTTGATCCAAGCATATGGCAGTCCGGTTGGCGTATCAAAAGCAGGTAGAAAACGTCTCCCCAAATCCTCTGCCAGATCAAGAAGTTGATTCTTATAAGTTCCTTGAACCAACCTGTTTGTAGAATCAGTTGCAAGAATATGAGCAGAAACTAGTCCTCCAAGAACTCTTATGTTGCACTACTCCATGCCAATCAAGGAAAAAAGAAACAGCATTAAATAAACCTTTTACATTACCAATTCCACACCAATCAAGGCAAAAAAAAAAAAGAAGAGAACCATTGAAAAACCAATGAAATTTTATCTAAATTTGAGAGTAGAGAGCACCCAAGGCACAACATTCTTAAGTCCAAACTAAGTTTGTATATTAGCTGATTATTAAGTTGATGGAAAGCAACATTGGAAATCGCAAGACTTTCAATTAATCAATGAAGCCATATACTAAAATGTTAGTAACCTAGACCATTTAATGATATATTAGTTAGAAATTAAACTGTAAATTATACCTCAAAAAGATTTATTCTTGCATCAACGTCAAATGACAGATTTACTGAAAGCCAAAGAACTGCCTTTTCAAACTCAGTGTGGTTACCCAAGATAACAAGACTGAAAGAAAAAACATGATACAAAGACAGAATATTAATCGCTCTCCACTTTAATAAACATAAAAAGAAAAGGAAAGATGCTCTTTCAATGCAAAGTCTTGTCAAAAGATGCATCAAATGTTTTATGTTGAAATATAGAAAGAAAGAAAGGTAATATACCTGGATAATGATTCAATCAGTGTAAGAGCTGATCCACTATACTTCTGCGGAAGATGTTCAAGCTAAAATATTGAAGTACAAAGTTAATAAACAAGTCTTGCGAATCTTGTGAAGTTTCTCCAACTAAAACCATCAAATTAGGGAATTCATTTTAAGAAAGGAGATATAATTACCTTCAAATTTCCAAGCTCGCTAAGAGAATCTGTGTACGTTTTGGTCAAAGGTTTAAGCTCATCATGCTACAAAAATTCAGAGAACATAGTTTATTTTGCCAAAGTAGAGTATAAGAAGCTGATTAGAAATATCAATCAGGGAGCTCTGACCGACCGGAAACGCATGCATCATATAGTTCTCGTAAGCATGGTAAAACCTGATACACAGAAGGAAAAATCTTTTTACCACAATAGTTCATAAAGAGAGCAACTTGTTGAAACAGCAGAGAAATTAAGTGAATATAAATAAACAACTTTTCTTCAATTTTTGACATCAGGTTAGTGAAGTTATTTCATGGGACTCGCAACAAACCTGCAAAATAATATATTGTCTCGGTAAACTGGTAAAGAGTGGCATTATCTAAAGCTACTTATGAGCTTGTCTAGTTTGTTAATGAGTGCAGCTTCTTTTAACTATCAGTAAACATAGCAAGCTTCTTGAACAAAAGCCTGAGGAATCAGACATTTGTATTGCCAACATTGAGTTAGATCTGCCTTCTTAAACTAATCTCAACAGTCAACACCACTAGGATATGGGCATTCATACCTGTAGCAGATACCAATAGGTTCCCTTAATTTTATGGGCTGGACACTTTTAAGTTACAAAAGTCAAAAACCACAAAGGAATGGATAATTTTACTCAAAAATGGATTGCATAATTTGTATGGCCACTACATAATTACCAAGGTTGGGTCAATAGGTCCTCAATTCAATTGTGAAAAGAAGTACTTTAACAAACCAAATTACCAAAACTCAAGAGAAACCCACCACACAAAGGCACAAATGCACTATAAATAATATAACCACAAATAGTAAATTGATAAGCAAGCATGAAAAATCTTCCTCTTCCTTCATATTTTCTTAAATCCACCAGAACAATTCTTGGACTTTCTTACTTCGAGATAAAGAAAACTAAAGAAAGAACATATCAGATGCTTAGCATTGTTCAAAAAGCTTACATTTTGCGAACTTTCTGACTCATGCGTTTCCTCCTAGCTGCCATAGGATTAGGAGGATCAAACCCAGAGAAAGACATTGGAAAGAAGGTTGAAAGAAATATGAGCATACATATCAGAACCCTTTTCCTCATGATTCTAAAGCTTTTCGGGTCTATTGAGAAGGGCAGCAGAGATCTTCGTTTGAATATGAATCAGCAGACAGCAGATAGAGTCGAAGATGGGTACGGACTACGGAGTCTATACTATGAATGTCCGTGTCAGCAGAGCTTTGCTGGCGCTCACCAATCATCAACCGCCTCGTCAGATTCAATCACGGAGTTTTTTATTTATTTTTTTTTATTTATTTTAGATTTAGAAGTGTTACATAAGCCATGAAAGATAATTAACTTATTGACTTGTTGACTTATTAACCAAATTAAACCATCAATATGAGTGTTTGAATTTTGATTAATCAACTTTTTTGCAACAGTTTATTGCTTTAAAAAAATTAGAATTCAACAAACTGCTCAAAAAAAATTTGTTGATAAATTTTTCTGAGTAAGTCATTTTGCATGTAATCAGTTATCAACTAACAATTAATTTACCAAACATCTTTTTACAATCAAATAATATTATCAACTAGTCAAACACACTAACTCAATCAACTAATAACTATTTACCAAATACCCCTATATGTATTTTTGGTTTTACTTTAGCCAATATTTGGTAAATGATTTTTTGGAACAATTTTTAGCTGTTTGATTTAATTCTTCCCAAACTGTTTGATTTAAGTAATCAGATTTTTTTTTTTTTGTTTTTTTAGATTTAAAAATGTCATTTTAAGTTAATTGTGTGATAAAGTAATTATAAAAATTCATTTCCGCTATTCTAAGCTTACCCATATCAGCTTCTCCATTGAGTCCATTCTTCCAATCCTAAATACATAGCACAAATTCAAGAAAAAAGAGAGTGCAATCTAAGAGAATAGGGAGGTAACAAGTTTGTTAGCAAAGACTCTAACAATGATTCAAACATTAATCTTCTAATTTTTTTATTTTTTTTTTGTTAATTTCCATAGCAATCTTTCAGAAAATGATTTATCTTGCATTTTTCTTTGGTTATACATGTTGTTTGGGGCTTGCTTCTTACTTCAAATGGGTGTCATTTTTATTTTTTAAACCATTGGATTAAAGTGGCAATAGGATCATTTGAAACCAAACCTGCTCAATTATGTTTTTATTTTATTTTTATTTTTTATTTTTTTATTTTTTTGCATTTGTACTTAAAATATATTGAGTAAATTTCATTTTCCCATCCATCACGGGGGAGTATGTCTTCTCCTTTAATTTAGTATGATTGTCATCACTTGTGATTTCTGTTTTTATTACAAAGGCGTGATATTAGCAACTTCAATTTAGCTGGAATTATTCTAAAATTGCTTGAGGCTAAAAAGCATATGGTTGAGGTGCATAATGATAGTGTCGCAGTATATATTTGCCAACATGCACTACCTTTAATTTGATACTAGGCTAAGCCAAAATATTATCTAATCTTATATCATATATCTTTATCTTATCTTATCTTATCTTATATCTTATATCTTACATTCTTACCCTTTATCTTATCTTATATCTTATATCTTATATCTTATCTTATCTTATCTATAAAGAAGCCAGATCTTTTAGTCACAAAATTTTATAGATTTGTAGAATTATTTCTGTAAATGAGATTAGCAAAGTAATGCATTTATTGTGTCCACATTTATGAAAACAAACAAAACATGCTTGCAAATTTCAATAACCACATGTTTTGAATTACAAATGACTAACATTAATTGAGGGAAAATGATTGTAATGTGACAAAACTATCATGTATTTTCAAAATTAGAACGTTTTTGAAAGTTGGACAAAATTAAAAAAAAAAAAAACATTTGAAAAATGTGTTTTATGTCAATCCCGGTCAAACACAAACGCAAATGAAACTTGCGTATCTCGAGATACGCAAGGATAAGTTGGCAATGTCACTTTCTTTTAGGGAAAAAAGAATAAGTTGGGTAATCCTTCTTGGGAAGCCAAACCCATCAAGAGTTTCCTACCGGAACGTCTAGTCAACACTATCATAGGCTTTTTGGAGGTCAATTTTGAAAACCATAAGGCCTCTCCTGCCCTGCTTCTTATTCATCGTGTGGACAACTTCTTGAGTAAGGATCACATTATCTAAAGTAGAACGCCCTAGGAGAAAGCTATTTTGATGAGGACCAATCAGACGACACATAATGGGTCTCATACGGTTGACAAGAACTTTAGAAACCACTTTGAAGGCCACATTAAGAAGGGTGATGGGCCTGAAGTCGGTTGTAGTCTCTGGGGTATCTTTTTTCGGGACGAAAGTAATAAAAGCCCGAAGGAGGGACGTCGGAACCTTACTACTGGTCAGCGCTTGATTGACTAGCCCAGTTAGGGCCGGGCCAATCTCCTCCCAAAATTTTTGATAGAAGGCCGCAGGTATACCATCTGGCCCCGGACTTCCAAATTTCTTCATTCCAAAGATAGCTTTTTTGACTTCTTCCATCGAGGCTCTTCGGATCAACTGATTGGCCTGGTGCCTCGAGATCTTGTGGGATTCCGCAATATTTATCATTTCTGGACCATCTCTCCGGTCTATCCTGTTGAAAAAGGGACGAAAAAAAAGAGGTGATATGGTTAGATAAGATAGAAGGATCATCCGTCCAATTACCTTGCACCTTGAGAAACCTGATCTTGTTTTTATTCCTCCTAATTACATCGGTGTTGTGGTAGAAACGAGTATTTCTGTCTCCGTCTTTTATCCAATTAGTCCTGGATTTCTGGAACCAAAGAGCCTCCTCCTGATCCAACACCTCATTGAGCTCCGAAGTTAGCTTTTTTTTCTAGGGCTTGAAGACCCCCCGAGGTAGCATAATTGGTATTGGTTTGGAGGCCCTGAATTCTGGCCTCCAGGTTACGTTTGCGTTTAAAAATATTCCCAAACACCTCACGGTTCCAAGTCTTGCTCTGTTCGGTAATCTTATTAATAATGACATCAATGTCATGATCCTCCGAGTTCGTGGCGTTTTTCCAAATCAATCCATAGTCGTTTCTACTAAGCCAAGCAGCTTCGAACCGAAACGGATGAAGGTTCCTATCAGGCAGGGATCCCGCTTCCTCCATGAAGAGAATGGGGTTGTGGTCGGAGTGGAGTCTCGGAAGAACAACAACCTTGGCCTCGGGAAAGGCCATCTGGGCACACATATTCCAAAGTACTCTGTCGAGACGGCGCAACTGGGTAACCCGGTTCCCCGCTAAGCGGCACCAAGTAAACTTGGCTCCTACTGATCCGGGGTCAAGCAGCCCACAACCACTGAAAGCATCAACAAACTTTTGCATGGCTAAGTTACTAGTATTCTCACTGCCCCACTGTTCATCCACAACGGCTATATCATTAAGGTCACCGAGAAGAATCCAAGAGCCTTGTATAGAGGTGCTAAACTGCTTACAATCCTCCTAGAACCTGCTTTTTGCCATAAGATTAGGCCTAACATAGGCAAATGTGATATAACAGCCATCCGGTCTGTGGTTAACCTTCGCATGGATGGCTTGAGAAGAGTGCCTGATGATCTCAATGTCGATTTGCCCTTGTTTCCAGAAGAGGAGCAAACCACCTGCAAAACCCATGGGCTCAACAAAAAAATGATTAGTGTAGCCTAGGTTACTAGCCATGTTCACCATGCCCTCCACTTTGGGGGACCGGATCTCGAGGAGGCATAGGGCATCCGCTCTGGATGAGGTTAAGAGCTCTTTTACGTGCTTTTGTGCCCGACCGTTAACGGCGCCCCTGCAGTTCCAAGGGATGACAATCATTGGGAAACACCCGCAAGGGGGGGAGTTTGAGAACCGCCTTCCCCGGGCGTGGAACGAGATAGAGGGGTTGTCTGGTCAACAGCCAAACCCCTAGAACACGATCAGGGGGGTATTAACAAAACTTCCAAAATGAAACACCGAGTTCATCTATCCATGATCCCTTGCATCACCAGGAGCGTAGGGGTCTGAATTAAAACCATCAGAAACCCTTTGGGACCAACTTCCTCTACCTGTACTTCGGGTAGAACCTTTACCAGCCGAAAGGGAGCCACCACGCCCCCCATTAGAAAGGCTGGTATGGCGCTGTAAAGGAGCCTTGAACCTGGCCTTAGCAGTAGGCTGTTCAGGTAAAGGCGTGGCTCCTTGCATGGA